AAAATTCTCTCTCTCTCTCTCCCCCCCCCACTCTCTCAAAAAAAAAAAGTAATCAATGTAGTCAAGGAATGAGGGACTACAATTTTAAAGGAAAGGGACGTTTACAGGGAAACTCTTTCCTATGTATTTTTTCTGAGTATACTAAGTTGTGTGTGGCTCACTGGAAGAAAGCCAGAGCCTATGCAGAAAGTAGCAATCTTATGGAGCTAAATACACAGGTAGACTTGGGAGGTTAAGGCAGGAAGATGGCAATTTTGAGGCCTGCCTGGGCAACTTAGCATGACCCTGTCTCAAACTAGAGATGGGCTGAGAATTGGAGATATAGCTCAGTTGGTAGAGTGCTTGCCTCGAATGCACATGGCCCTGGGTTCAATCCCTGGCACCATAAAAAAGTGTGTGTAGGGGGGCTGGGAATGATTTTGAGATAGGATTTTGTTGTTTCTGAGGCTACCCTTGACTTGCAATTCTCTTGCCTCAACCTTCCAAGTTGCTGGGATTACATGCATAAACCACAGTGCCTGTTACCCCCAGTCCTTTGTAATTTTGAAACATGGTCTGCCTGAATTGCTGAGACTGGCTTAGGACTTGTGATCCTCTTGCCTCAGCCTCCCAAGTGGCTGGGATTAAAGATATGTGTGACAGCGCCCAATCAACATGTAATTTTTTTTTACATTCATTCATTTATTCAAGTTATTTTCTGAGCACCTCCTGTGTATCATCTGCTTAGGGGGAGAGCATTGTGGTTGGAAGAACTAGTCTAGACTGTGTTCCATTATCCACTTCACCAGTGCTTGCTGGTAGACTATTCTGGGTTCTCTGAGAAGTGAACTGCAAATGGGACTAGTCAGGCAAAAGATTTATTAGGATGAAATCCATGAATCCCATCCCTGGACACAAGGGTCACAGCGCTATGGTAGCAGCCATAACTTAGTTTGGCAGGCCCCTTGCTGTATACCTGTACTTCCTGTAGGAACCCAAGATCATACAGGGCCCATACTGGGTTGGGAAGCATACAATCACTTGGGTCATTAGGAATGATAAGTAGAGTCATGCCTATTTCTCCACATTGGTTCCTGGACCCATGTACTCTTCCTACTTTGGACAGAGCATTCTAAAGAATGGCACCCCATCCTTTCAGAGGACAGCTTATCAGCTAGTGCTTCTGCTCTGCCTTTAGAAGGTTATTACCATGCTGGGCAAGGTACCATACATCTCTAACTGCAACCAGAGGCAATTTAGTGAGATTCTTTTATCAAAATTTAAAAAGGCTGGGGATACAGCTAAGTGGTAGAGTGCCCCGGGGTTCAACCCCCAGTACATGGCAGTACAGGGTACTGGGTAAGTGGGGTAAGGTCATTACCAGGTTTCTGGATGGAGTGGAATCTGATACAACCACAGGACCCTATAGTTATAGGTCCACTTCTGCACCCCATTCACTGCAAAGAATATTCCTTGGGGCTAGGGAGGGTATAGTTCAGTGCTAGAGCACTTGTCTACTAGCATGCACTAGGTTAGGTGGTGGGGTTCAATCCTCAGCACCACCCCCCTCCCCCACAAAAAAAGAAAATCCTTTGTTCTCTGGATCAAATGCTATGCTGTGTAGCTTTGTCTCCTTAAGACACTTGGCTAGCTACTCTGAGTAGGAACTGCAAACTTATACCCAGAATAGGTAGTCTATTCTTACAAGAGGGAATAGGCCCAATGTAGCTGATTTGACACTGAACTTCAGCCGCTTGGTCTTCTCTATAAGTAGTGCATATCAGACTCTGCTGGTCTCTTTGCTGACAAATTGGAGGTTCAGAGGCAGCAGTAGCTCCACCTGCTGTGGTAAGCAAAAGAGTCCATGCTATTAGGTTCATGTGGGGTCAGGAATGGGTGAAGGCTGGCTCATGTCAATTAGCTAGGTAATTCTGCCCCATGGTTGTTCAGTTCAGTGCCTCTTCCATGCTTTCTGGACATTTTCATGAGATACAAAAATCTTTATATTGTGTCCACTCCCATGTTTACCTGCATGCTTCTACAGTAAACCAGGATGTTAAACCTTGCTCTGGAATTTGTATGTATTCTTGTTTCCCACAAATGGCATAGATTATTTATGTAGAGGAATTTATATATATTCTAACATCAACTCTCTACCACCTTTCAGGGCCCTATCTTTAGTGATGGCTCTAATCTCTATCATCCCTCATCCTCTCAATGACATTATCTTAAGTTTATCATCACAGTCGGGGGTGGGAAGCAGTTTCTTTTCAGAACTGGGGATTGAACCCAGGAAGGCTTTACCACTGAACTACACTCCCAGATCTTTATTTTGTACCAGGGATTAAACCCACATCCCCAGCCCTTTTTCATATTTTATTTAAAAAATATTTTTTTGGTTGTCAATGGACCTTTATTTTACTTACTTATATATGTGCTAAGAATCAAACTCATGCTAGAGTTTGCACATGCTAGACAGGTGCTCTACCACTGAGTCACCATCCCAGCTCCTCATATTCTTAGATAGGGTTATCACCAAGTTACTTAGGGCCTTGCCAAATTGCTATGGCTGACTTTGAATTTGTGATCCTCCTGCCTCAGCCTCCCAAGCCGCTAGGATTATAGGAGTGTGCCACCATGCCTGGCCCCAGATTTATTTTGAGACAGGGTCTCACTACTATAGAGGCTGGCCTCAGACTTGAGATCCTCCTGCATAGGCCTCCCAAGTGGCTGGGAGAACAGGTGTGTACCAACATACCTGGCTTATATGGGGAAGTTTCTAATATTTACATTTGGCCTTTCCTGCCATAATTAATTCTTACACTATAGGCCAGATACATGACATAGGGTTATTCCAAATAACTTTTAGCTACATATTTAAGGACTGTGAAATCACTGGGTGAACTCATTCAGTGGGCTCACTGTCATTCTTTAGTCAAGATGCCATGTTTTTTTTTTTTTTTTTTTTTTGAGGCGGGGATGGGGGTGGGGGTCTGGGGATAGAACCCAGAGGCACTTTTGAACCCTTTTTTGTATTTTATTTAGGGACAGGGCCTTCTTAAGTTGCTGAGGTTGGCTTTGAACTCACAAGATATCATGATTTTTATGGCAAGGGATTTTTGGACTCCAAAAGAAAGAGAAAACTAGGTTAAGTAGCCAGAACTCTGCTGAGAAGAAAAGTAGGAGCCCACTTGCCCATTGCTACTGCCACCATCATAAGCGATGCCAGCAACTAAAATAAATAAAAGTAAAGTCATTTCCTTCTTTCTCCTTTCCATGATTAATATAGTATAGGGGACAGTACTGGGGACTGAATCTGGGGCTTCATACATGCTAGGCAAGTATTCTACCACAGAGCAACACCCCAGTCCTTTGTTTTTGAGAAGGTCTTGCTGAATTTTCCAGGTTGGCCTTGAACTTGAAGATCCTCCTATCTTATCCCTTTGAATAGCTAGGATTATAGTTGTGCACCATCATGCCTGGTTTAGTGGAGGTTCTTAAGAAGCAAATACAGTTTCCCATTAGCAATAGCAAAATAGAATTGGCAGCCAAAGTCCCAACCACCTCATCAATTTAAATAAAATGTTTACTCTGGCTCCAAGAACTATTTTTTTTTTTGGAATTTTTAATATTTATTTTTTAGTTGGCGGACACAACATCTTTGTTGGTATGTGGTGCTGAGGATCGAACCCGGGCCACACGCATGCCAGGCGAGCGCGCTACCGCTTGAGCCACATCCCCAGCTCCTCCAGGAACTATTATGTGTAACTCAGAGGCACTACTAGAAAAAACAGAGAAATCCACCAGGCTACCTGGGAGAAATCTACCCCTGTTTCAAGACACAGACATGTTCCTGCCTCTAGGAGACAGACAAAAGACACCAGGAGCTTCTGTTACACGTGGCAAACTTTTATTTTCATATTAACATTAAAATACAAAACATAAACATAAAAAAAACATAGAATTTGTATGATTGCATCAATGGTATGACACTATATTATGTACAACCAGAGAAATGAAAAGTTGTGCACCTTTTGTGTAAAAACAAACAAACATACAGAATTTAAACAAACAGAAGTCCCATTGCCCTATTTTCAAAGCAGGTGTAAGGATATATACAAAAACAAGATCATTTTGAATTTAACTCCACATCCTTAAATGGGAAAACCCTAGATATGGGATGAAGAAGAAACATGGTAGAGCAAACACCCTGATGTGCTTAGGAGAGTACAGTCTGGGTCTATAGATGAGATCTCCTACAACTGTGTGTGGGGATGGGGATAGGAAGTAGGGTAAGATTTTCTTGTTAGAAAAATCAGTCAGTCATGTGACTTTGCTTCTAAAACATAAAAATTTAGGCTTAGGATAGAGCAAAGTAGTAAAGCAAATGCTTAGCATTTATGAAGTGCTGGGTTTGATCCCCCCCCCATTCACTCACCCCACCAAACTTGAATTTACTATAGAAATGCAGAGACTGCTATGATTTGATATTTTTGCAACTTCCCTGGTAATATATTCCCTGGTTCCTACTCTTGGGAGAATCAATCAGCATTAGTTCAGTTACTTCAAGGCAAGTCAAATCCTAACACTGCCCTGGCCTCAAGAGAAAAGTGGCCATTGCCTGATGTCTACATCCTTTCTGTGGTAATGTGCTGAAGCTACATGTGTTCCTAGTTTTTAATTCAAATCCCATTCTGCCACTGAGGCACTAGGCCAGGGTAACTCTCTTAATCATCAACATATCAAAAGGAGTCTCTCCTCTTGAGAAAAARGGGCTTTTCCTAGGCTGTATACATTGGGTTTTTGAAAGATACCCTCTAACAGAAAGCTGTCATTAAAAGACACCATTAGAATTTCCGGGAAAATCTACTCTATCAATCCCTTGATGGTAAGAAAATCCTGGAAACAACTAAGGAATGGACAGATAAGAACTGTTTTATTTAAAAAAAAAAGGAAGAAGAAGAAAACTCCTCTACAAATTATTTAATTAAGAAAATCACATTATTAGCCATGTGCTCCCAAGAATATTGATCTGCCCATACCTTCGGGAATGTACTGCTATGGACAGTGATTTCCCAGAAAAGCCTGAGGCAAAACAGACAAATACAACCTGAGAGTGGATCCTAATGTTGGGCAATGAGAGTTGGTGAATGCTTTCCCTGTCATCCCCATAGGTCTCCAACCACTAATTATCTTCCTGAGAGTAATCATTTTACTAACAACACTTTCAGAAAAGGTTAGGGAGACAAATCAGAGAAAGTTGAACAAGAAACATGTTTCAAGTAGGGAAGCCTTTACTTAGGTATTATAAACATGCTCAAAACCCCCTTCACTTTGAGGAATTGGCTTTATTCAGATAGGAACTCTTATGAAAATGGGAGAAAAACAAGCCCTTCTTTTCTCCACAACAATCTGAACAGCTTTTCTTGCTCTCTTTAGTCCCTAGATCCTGATCTGATATTAGGGGAGATTCAAGTAAAAGCCTTGATCCTTTTCTAGCAGAAGGGAAGAATAGTAGTCTTAAAACACTGGCTTAGATAACCGATCCTGAGTTCCTAAGCTATCTAGAAAAGAATGCTCCAACAATTGGTCCCTTTCCTTAGTCTAACAATGCGATAAGCTTAATATATTCAGCATTATTAGCTAAGACCCCATACTGCTCATTAGCCATGTCTATCGTTCGACTTAACGAACGCCTTAGCACTATGTGCCTGGAACATGACTACTGATATAATAAAGTATACCAGATGTGTACTACCACACACTTCTGTTGGGGACAAGAGCATCTAGTTAATAAAAAGTTAATGAGCCTATAAGCTTAAAATAAATCAAATTCTACACAAGGTTCTACAGTGCCCTCTTATGTTCAACAGAAAAAAGACTTTTGCATCCACTAAGCAGGAAGCGGGTTAGCCCCTTAGGATGCAGCACAATAAGGCAATTAGCCCAATAGACAAAATGACTCAGGTGGATATCATACCCCCAGAAAATGCTTGGTGCATCCTCCTGTCCTAAATGACTACTAAGAGGACTCTCTAAAGCAAAGATTTATGAAAGATTCATGAAAGCTTATAACCTGAGAAATGGATAGTATAGATGGAATACCAGTCACTCCTTGGATGGACATAGCAGATACACAATCCATAGTGTTTTGGTGATCTGGATTCCTAGAATCATACTAACCCAAATGAACCATGATACCCAAATTCTAGCTTGCAGACAATAAGCAGGGATATTGTTCAGGGCTGCTAGGTAATAGCAAACAACATTTAAAGTTAACCAGCAGCCTGTCTGAAGGGTCTTAAGACCAAGGTCACTCCCACTTATAGAAGTGGACAGTCTTCTCTGTTAAGGTAGCCAAGTAGCTGTTATGGTTCACCTCAAATGGGCAGATATCCAAAACAGGCTGATCAGTCTGCAGGTCCTGTAGTAATGAGCCACTGCCAGCATCCCACAGCTAAAGAAAACAAGCAGAGAGAAAGGTCAGCAGTCAGTTCAGCTGAAGACTTGCTTTCTTTGTCATCAAACAATTCTGGGGGGATGGGGGAAGATGAGAAGCTGCTGCCCTTGGGAGTAAACAGACCCTCCCTAACCTTCACAAGGGTGCACAAAGCCAACACACACATCACTCCACTGTTCATGTATAGTCTTGCCTACTGCAACCAGCAATTAGTTCTACCTGTGAATGAACCTGAAGAGAAAAGCCCAGCACTCATTACTTCCATCTATGTGTCAGGCAGTCTTCTAGATATTGTCCCTTCTAGGTACAGAAGGGTCAATAAAACAAAGTCAATCTCATAAGCCATGCATCACCCAGAGTAAAAAATTATTAAGCTTTTACCACATCTGTTTTATTGATTTTTTTTTAAACCAAGGATTGAACCCAGGGGTGCTTAACCATTAAGCCACACCCCCAGCCCTATTTTATATTTTGTTTAAAGATAGGGTCTCACTGAGTTGCTAAGTACCTTGCTAATCTGCTGAGGCTGGCTTTGAACTCTCTATCATTCTGCCTTAGTTTTAGCCTCCTGAGCTGCTAGGATTACAAGCATGCACCACCGTACCCGGCCACATGTTTTATTAATCCTATTTTTCCTTGCTGATTTCATGCTGTTTATATCCCTAAAATTGAAGATATTTTCTTACATAGCTACAAAATGAATGATAATTCCATATTATTATTATATATCTGGTGCATAACAAAATTTTACAATTTTCCACATCAGTACTAGGGACTGCTAAACTACATTCTCAGCCCTACAGCTGGTGTGTTTGAATCAGGCTCCAAGTAAGATCTACATTACATCTGGTAGTTACAAACTGTGTGTGTGTCGTGCTAGGTATCAACTATAAGGCTTTGTGCACGCCAGGCAAGCATTTACTGAACTATGCCCTGTCCAGTAATAAACTTTTTTTTTTTTTGGCAATGGGGATTCAATCTAGGAGTGCTTAACCACTGCCCCCATCTTTTAAAAAATCATTTTTTTTTTTGAGACAAGATCTTGCTAAATTACATAGGGCCACACTAAGTTGCTGAGGCTAGTCTTAAACTTGTGATTCTCCTGTCTCAGCCTCTGAAGTTGCTGGGATTACAAGCATGTTCCACCAAACCTGGCCCAATTATAGAATCTTTTATTTTTTTAGTTGTAGATGGACACAATATCTTTATTTTATTTTTAAGTGGTGCTGAGGATTGAACCCAGTGCCTCATCTGTGCAAGGTAGTAAGTGTCCTGCCACTGAACTACAACCCCAGCCCCAATAAATCTTTGAATCTACAGCAGATCCAGTATTACTTTTTTTTTTTCCTTCTGCCACTGAATTGTTATGGAAGCAATTCTACAGTAATTCTACAGAATACTCACAATCTGGCTTTGTCTGTTTGCTTTCTGGTGTATCATTTAACTTGTTCCTCTACTCTCTGCAATTCTAGTTAATAAAGTCAGCATTAGATTCTAGAGTGGCTCTATCCAATACAGTGGTCCCTAGCCGTAAGAATTTATCTTTAAATTAATTAAATTAAAATTAAGTTAAATATGGGCTGGGGATGTGGCTCAAGCGGTAACGTGCTCGCCTGGCGTGCGCGGGGTTCGATCCTCAGCACCACATAAAAATAAAGATGTTGTGTCTGCCGAAAACTAAAAAATAGATATAAAAAAATTCTTTCAAAAAAATTAATTAAGTTAAATAAAAATGAAATTCTTCATTTGCACAAACCACATTTCAAGTGCCTCTGTGCTTAGTGTGACTGTACTCGACAGCCCCTCTCAGATAGCTTAGAATCAGGTTCAAGAACATCTCATAGGAGGCACATGTGCTTCATATTGCCTTACATCAAAAAGCTGTATTATTTCTGGCTAACCCATTTATAGTGATGTCAAGATTGATCTACATGTTCAGGTGGTGAAAGGATGATCCTTCCACTCTAAGATTTCACATCTTTTGTTGATTTCATCTGAGCTGATGAAACTAATGCATGAATTAATTACTTTATAGTTTCAGTAGAGCATGCATGCATGCATGCATTCATTCATTCATACCAGGGATTGAACCCAGGGGCATTTAATCACTGAGCCACATCCCTAGTCTGTTTTGTTTTTTTTAATTTTGAGATAGGGTCTTGCTAAGTTGCTCATGGTTTCAATCCACCATACCACAAAAAAGGAAAAAAGTTTTCTGGAATGAAACATTACGGCTCAGTTAAAAAAAAAAAAAGAATGAGTGAATCTAGATATTGAAATGGAAAGACACCTAAACTAGGAAGTAAAAGGTAAACAAACAAACCCCCCCCCAAACAAAAGCCAAGTTCAGTGATGCAAGCCCATAATCCCAGTTATTTGGGAGGCTGAGCAAGGGAAATGCCAAGTTTGAGGACAGCCTAGGCAACTTCACAAGACTGTCTCAAAATTTAAAATAAAAGGGCCTATACATAGTTCAGTGGTAATGTGCCTCTGGGTTCAATCCCCTGTACCACAAAAGAAAACAAACAAAAGTAAAAAAATGAAAAATATGACGCAGTATGTGAAGTGAGAACTGTATAAAAAATAAAGCAAGCAACCATGCATCTAGAGATACACAGAATTATGAAGCATGTGCCGAGTATTGAACCCAGAGCCTTGCACATGCTAGATAAGCTGTCTACCACTGAACTACAACTCGGGCTCTATTAATTTTTTTTTTTTTTGTACTGGGGATTGAACGGGCATTCAACCACCGAGCCACAATCCCAGTGCTATTTTGTATTTTATTTAGAGACAGGGTCTCAATGAGTTGTTTGGTGCCTTACTCTTGCTGAGGCTGGCTTTGAACTCATGATCCTCCTTCCTCAGGCTCCCAAGCCACTGGGATTATAGGTGTGCATCACTGTGCCTGGCTATTAACTAATTTTTTAAAATACAAAATAAAATAGAACAGGCTTACCAGAGCAGAGTTTGATGCTTCATCCCCAGTACACACCAGGATGCTACCATCATTCTCTGGGCTTTGAAAAATGGCACTTTTGGTCAATAGTTTACAAGTGGGTCCCCCAAAGAATGTTTGCACAGGGTGGCAGGAACAAATTGGTTCTCCAGCATTATCCAGTTTGTAGGACATTTCCAGCAGCACACTTCGTAGGGTATTGTGGTTTTTATCTATGGGACACAGAAATCAGTGCTGGTCCATGGGGATGGTTCAAAGAAATAAAAAGCACCTGAGCCCTAAGACACTTAAGATAGCTGAGTAGGAAAAGTAATAAGTACATTAAACCACAAAAATAGCTACAAAGCAAACACAGTAACACAGAACAAGTGAAATTCAGAACCCTAGGTTAGGATGAAACAAGTTTACAACAAATTTTTGCCTCAGAGAAACAATTCTGAGAACGCATTATCTATTTAGTAAAATCACTATATCCTGCCAGGCCTTTGCTGGGGAATTTTTCTCTCAAGAGTGCTGACTAAAAGCATTTTTTCCTTTCCCCAGTGAGGACCCACTGGAACTGCACATTTTATAAAGTAAAAAGCATGATATTAGAGAAGAAGAAACATAGTCAAGAGAGGCAAACAAAAGCTGGAGAACAAAATGAGACTCCCAAGCTTTCTACATAGTCATAACAAATTATCCTTGGATATAGTGGACTCATGGATGACTAAGAGCCAAAGGGCCAGAAAGGTCAAAGAGACACTTGCCCAGTTCAAATGCAACTTCAATAATTAGATCCACTCAAAAGTAGCTGAAGTGTGGGCACTTTTAATGATCAACTCTGACCAAATTGTCAGAAATTTATCTGCTTGTCATGTTTAATGCAAGTGCTGCTTTGGCATCCATTTTTAGACCTGACCTAAGCTTGAAAACCCATCTCAATACTTTTCCCCTAGTTAAAACTCCCCCCCCCCCGCATGGTTGTTTGCAATATAGCCTACTTGTTCCTTATCCAACTGATCAAAAATCTAGTATACCCCAAAACTGTCGACCACAATAAAATCTAATGGTCAACAGTCATGTAAATAAATCTTCTTTTCATGTGTGTTTTCTCTAAGCTAGCTAGCTATTAACCCCAAGGGAAAATTTAAGGAATAACATCCATGGATCTTAATAAAGGCATAGTCCTAACATAACAGGCCATTTTTTTTTCTCTTGCTCTTTAGCTGCTGGTTGGGCATGTGTGTCCCAGAAAGCTTCTCCTTATTCCCACTGGCTCTGCAAGGCACAATGCCTTTTCTCTGGAAAATGTAAATAATAAACTCCTGTGCTGCGCCCCCTGTTTCATCTGATTGACATACTTAAATCTAACTTTAGGTTTGAGATTCTCTTAAAGAGTAGATATCTTAACAGGAATAAACTGGTCTCAGGCCAGCTAAGAGCTCCCCCACCCAAGGTGTCTGCCAGTATGAACAAAGGGATACTTGGTGACAGGTCTCAGGCACTTAGGCATTAGGCTATTTGCCAGGATAAACAAGTATCCTATGAAAGGCACACTGTAAAGAAAAACAAGTAAATCCTCAAAGCCCTCTTAGGGTAGGGCTAGAGTTTACAGCTTTTCTCCTGAGAGACCTCAAGATCAAATTAGGAAAAAACCTACAACAATGACCATTATAGTTCATCAAGAATTTTCTAAGAACATGTGACTTTTAAGAACAGTCATCTATCAGGGTTTTCAACCCTGGTTCTGGAGACAATGTAGTTTAGCTGGCTAGGTGCACATACCCATCTTTGTCAGTCTTCTCTTATTTACCTGGTTTGCCTCAAATAAGAATAGTTAATACCCCAGTCTGGGCCATACATGGCTGCCTTCCTTTGCACCTTTTTTTTTTAAATTTTTTTTAACTGGGGATTGAACTCAATTTTATTTTTTATTTTGAGATAGGGTCTCACTAAGTTGCTTAGAGTCTCACTAAGTTGCTGAGATTGCATATGGAAGTCACCATGCCCGGCCTCATCTCTACCTCTTTTAGGTGAAGTGAGGGTCAGGCAGAAGACATGAAGCTGATCTGAAGGCGGCTCAATGCCCTTAAGAGTAGGCTTCCTCATTCCATTACTGCTTTAAGAAATAGTGGTTAATTGACTTCCAGAAGTACCAGGCAGAATTTGTTCTAGTTCTCACAAATAAAGAGCAGGAAGGCAGGCACTATTGGAGGAACTGAGAGCCATCAGCTTTACTGTAGTAGCAAGAGCTATAACCCAACCTGTTAACCTGTGAGGAGCTTACTGTAGCCACCCAAAGGAGAGCCAAACTCTTCTTCCCTCTCCTAATACGCATTGGCTTCCAAATAAAACCAGAGGAGGCCTCAAAGGACTCCAACACTCACCAGGCCTGTAGGTCACAAGACAGTGTCGGGTGCTGCTCTCCGTCTGAAAGTCTACGTAGCCCCCTGGCTCTAAGGGCAGCACATGAGGCCAATGAGAGAAGCCCACTTTTAGCTCCCAGAAGGAAGCATTCTCCAATGTTCCAGCTAGCACCCCACCATATGGAAATACAGCGGAGGCAGCTCTGGGTATATAAGAAAGAGATACCAGTGGGCATCTGAAGGAAAAGAAAAAAAAAAAAACATGCATCAAATTCCAAATACAATACTTGGACTTCTACTACCAGTAGAATCCTGGATCATATCCCTACGTCTACAGAAGAGATTAACAGACCCATGGGCCAATATTCCCTAACATCTGACAAAACAACACTTGAGCTGGAATCTGTGGCAAATGTCTGTAATCCCAGTTTCCAGGCTGGGGCAGAAGCACTGCAAGTTCAAGACCAGGGTTGGTAACAGCAAGACCCTGTCTCAAAGTATCAAGGGCTGGGGGGATGTAACTCAGTGGTAGAGGAGTGCATACCTAGCATGTTGAAGGCCATGTGTTCAAACAAACAAAACCCAAAAGAACACAAAACTAAAAACCCTCTGTGTGTGGGGGGGTGGGGGTGGGGGAGAGAAGCCTCAGCACCCTTCAGAGTAGCCAGGAATGTAGGTACATGCCACACCTGGCCCTTGCTATTTTTAATTTAAATTATTATACATTAATGGCAGTTATCTATTTGCCTGGAGTTCACATCAATCACTTTCATGTCCATGGATCACATCACTGAAGCATAATTCCTTTCTATCTTCTTTAAGATATTTTCTATTTTGGCCAGGCCACAGAATCTACTCACCTTCTGAGATCTTTTTATACCTCCAAGACAGTTCACATGGTGTTCTACACATTCTGAGAAGCCACAGTGGTGCAAATGGCCAACCAATACCAGAATATGGACAGATTTTTTGTTATAAACCTTGAAATCCCAGAACAAGATTAAAAATGATACAGCAATATGGCATCCTTAGGCCAACCTGCACTTTCCTTCCCCAGTGACAAGACAATCCCTGGGAAGGAGACACACATAAATCCTAAAATGGTGGTCACTGGGAAGAGGACAAGTATTGATCCTTTCCCAAGTAAATTCTCACCCAATGACAGTGAAACTACACATTAAACCTGTCCCTGTGACAATATGCTGTCCTCTGGAGGACAAGATAAGCTCTGAACACTGAGCTCTGAACCCTCCATCCTTGTCCTGCAAAAACACTGCCTAGTAAAAACTTAGTGACTGATAAGCAACCTCTCAGTGTGTAACCTATAAAACCCCAAGCTCCCTCTGTAACCGGGGGCTGCTTTCTGCCCAGAAAGTGAGCACAACCGATGCCTGACTCCACTGCTAAATAAAAGACAATGCTGACCCATGAAGTATGCTCTCCTCTGGTAATTTGTACTTTCGTTATGGTGCTGAAACCATTTTGACTATTTTTGCTAACAAAACCCAAGGGCACTTTACCTACCGTGCCATATTCCCACTCCTAGCCTTTTAAAATTTTAAGATCTGATCTAGCTGTGCTGCTGAGGCTGGCCTTGAACATGCAAATCTCCTCTCATAGCCTCCAAAGTTTCTGGGATCCGGGAATGGGCCATCACTGCTACCACCAACCCCAGCAGATTAAACCATAATTAGGCTTTTTTTTTTTTGGTACTGGAAATTAAACTCAGGGACACTCCACCACTGAGCCACATCCTCAGTCCTATTTTACATTTTATTCAGAGACAGGGTGTCACTAAGTTGCTTAGTGCCTCGCTTTTGCTGAGGCTGGCTTTGAACTCACAATTCTCCTGCTTCAGTGTCCCGAGCCACTGGGATCAAAAGCATGTGCCACTGTGGCTGGCTATTAGGCTATTCTTTTAAAATCTTTTTTTTTTAAATATTTATTTTTTAATTTTAGGTGGACACAATATCTTTATTTTTATTTTTTTAATGTGGTGTTGAGGATCAAACCCAGCGCCCCACACATGCCAGGCAATCGCGTTACCACTTGAGCCACATCCCCAGCCCTTAAAATCTCTTTTGAGTGAAAATTAAGTAGTTGGTTCAGCAAGTCTATGTTAATCACATTTAATGGGCCAAGAAACACCACCAAGGTTACATTTATAAGTTGTAGACCTGGTTCTAAACACAGATAGAATTATATTTTGCCATGCTAGATGATTACTGACTCTTATGAACCTGGTTATACGTGAAACCAGAGTTTTCTACCATGTGAAATATCAAGGACACAAATTTTAAGGACCTTAATAATTCTGAAATAGAGACTGTTGATCAACTGTGGAATACTCTCTGAAGAGAAGGCGAGTACACTTACAATCTAAAAGCAAGCTACTATCTATAGAAAAAAAGTGAGTGGTTTCTTACCTGGCCTTCTGAGGTACTAACTCCTGCATATGACAACTTGTGTTTCTTAGGTCATAGACTAGAATCGAACCATTGGCTAGTCCGGCATAGATGTAATTGTTTTCATCATGGCACCAGCAACAGCTCCAGACAGGACGTCCGGTATTGTAAGTCTGGACAACAGTATTGGTCTCCAGGCTATGGAGTTATAAAAGCTTTTTTTACTACTAAATCAAATACATGATGAAGAGGCAAAAATTATCAAATGATCGATAATCTCTACTGAGGATGAAGGGGTGGAGAATAGGCCCCAGGGCATTTCCCTTATTTGCAGCTGTTCCCCCACCCATATTGTCTGTGGTAAATTAGAGCTTCTGTCATTTAGAAGCTCAGGCCTCAGAGGGAGGACAAAAAAGGAACTCAGACAGACTGGCACCTGACCCGTTCTTGACTCAGTTAGCTGACCACCCCAGTACAACAGGCCCCAAGAACTTCCCTAGGCTCCTGTCCCACCCTAAATAAACCCACCAAACCAAACATCCTATAACCTCACTCAGCTGAACCTTATAACACTCAGACCCTTGTTTTCTACCCCAAAAATGTGCTCCTTTGCTGCTTAATAAAAGCATCATTGACCCATCAAAGTCTGTTCCCATTTCAGTTATATTTTGGTTTTAGAGAAAACAACCCAAACTGTCTGGATTCTCAATTTCCTTTAGGAATTACACAGATAACCCCTTATATTTCAAAAATTTGGGGCTATAGCCTTTCCTCTTGAGTTAAAGAATAAATTAAAAGAATATATTAACAGTAGATTCCCCACTTCTCATTATCTTCACCACCTGTTACTTACACACACGTAATTTTAAAGAAACAGCATATTGCAGTTTAGTATGTTCACTTTTAAACAGAGTCAATTTTATGTAGATCTCAAAAGATAAGGCTTTAGACCAATAAAAGAGAGCTAAGGGCACCATAACATCAATATTAATTTGATGCAACCCAGACCCCTGACTTATTTACCTAGTCAGTTTAATAGTATTGTCTAGAGAAGCAGAGAGCAGCAAGCCTTTGGAACGACTACTAAAAGCCAGTCCTCGGATCTGTTTGCCATGCATTGGAATATACTGACTGCTTTTCATGTTGGCAGTACTCAACATCTTAACACCAAAGCCTACCAAAGAAGAGAGTAAAAAAATAGTTCAGTTAAAGTTAATTCAGGACCAATGAAAACCATCTTTTCAAGTAGCTCTTTTGTTTACCTTTCTTGGCACATAAATCCTCCAGAAACAGAAGGTAAAACAAAGAAAACAAAAATTCCCCAGTGCAATAATTTACTTAAAGCATATAATACATCCCTAATGTCTATCAATAGATGAATGAATAAACAATTATATATACAGACAATGTAATATTACCCAGCAATTAAATGAACTATTGAATTACACAAAAATATAAACAAATCTTTTTTAAAAAATATGTTGAAAGTCAAAACAAAAAATAACAATGCACTATAAAACTCTAGAAAATGCAAACTAATCTACATAAAAAGCAGGTCAGGGTTGAGGATATAGCTCAGTTGGTAGAGTGCTTGCCTCACATGCCCAAGGCCCTGGGTTCAATCCCTAACACCTCAAAAAAAAAAAAAAAAAAAAGAAAAAAAAAAAGAAAAGCAGCATTTATTTGGAGATAGGGAGAAGAGAAAACACCAGGTGGAAGGGATTACAAAAGTGACAAGAAAACTTTTGGCATGATAAATATGTTCATTATATCTTGATGAAGTGATGATTTCAGGGGTGTACACATATCAAATCACATACTTTAAACATACAGTTTAGTTTATGTCAATGAAGCTGTTGAGAGACTGAGAGTATTCCATCTGAAGCACAGATACTCAAAATGCAGAAAGCACACAACAGTAAAGAATGGAGATAAGACTGGGTGTGGTAAGGCACACATATAATCCCAGACTTTGGAGGGCAGGGCAGATATATTGCAAGTTGGAGGCCGGACTGAGAAAACCTCTGCAATTTAGCAAGATCCTGTCTCAGAATAAAGAACTGGAGGGGTCTGCTCAGTGCTTGTACTCAAATGTTCAGAGCACTTGCTTTGCAGATGTGAGGCACTATGTTCGATCCTCAGTACCGCATAAAAATAAATAAAATAAAGGTATTGTGTCCTCAACTAAAAATATTACTATTATTTTTTTAAATTGTTGATAGATCTTTATTTTATTATTTATATGTGGTGCTGAGAATTTTTTTTTTTTTAAAGAGAGAGTGAGGACAGAGAGAGAGAGAGAGAGAATTTTTAATATTTATTTATTTTTTAGTTCTCGGCGGACACAACATCTTTGTTGGTATGTGGTGCTGAGGATCGAACCCGGGCCGCACGCATGCTAGGCGAGCGCGCTACCGCTTGAGCCACATCCCCAGCCCTGGTGCTGAGAATTGAACCCAGTGCTTCACACGTGCCAGGCAAGTGTGAAGCTGAGCCACAGCCCCAGTCCTAAAAATATTAATAATAATAATAAAATAAAGGACTGGGGATGTAGTTCAGTGGTAAAGGACCTAGAGGTTTGATCCCTAGTACTGGGGGTGAAAAAACAAAAAGGGACACAATAATAACCAATTTGAGGAAAATCAGAGGTTTTATTTGATCATAAATCATTTTATTAAAGTATTGGATGGGGTCAGGCACAGTGACACGTACCTGTAAATCCCAGCTACTAGGAAGGCCAAGACAGGAGAATTCCAAGTTTGAGGATAACCTGGACAACTTAGCAAGATCCTGACTCAAAATTAATAAAGGGCCAGGCATGGTGGTCCATATCAGTAATCTCAATGATTCAGGAGGCTAATCCAATTTGGAGGCCAGCCTCAGGAACTTAGCAAGACTGTCTCAAAAAATAAAAGGGGCTACGGAGGAGAATCAGTGGTTAAGCGCCCCTCTGTCAATCCCTGGCACCGCCCCACAAATATAAGGTAAAGGATGTAGCTCAGTGGCAGAGCACTTGCCTACTAGCATGTGTGAGATGGTGGGTGTGATCCCTAGTACTAAAAAAAAAAAATTTTAATCTTAGATGGGATCTAAGAATATTATAAAAAAATCCTTTTACTTTATGCTTAAGTGTTTTTTTTTTTTTTTGTACTGGAGATTGAACTCAGGGACACTTAACCATTGAGCCACATCCCCAGGCCTTTTGGTTTTGTATTTAGAGACAGGATCTCTGAGTTGCTTAAAGCCTTGCTAAATTTGCTAAAGCTGGCTTTGAATCTGTAACCCTCCCACCTCCAAGCCTCTAGGATTACAGGAGTACACTACTGGGCCTAACTGGAAATTCATGATAGTCTCTCAAATTATAGCTGTTATCACTAAATAGAGAAATACACAAAAATATAGAATTTCGTTCTTTTGGGGGGAGGTACTGGAATTGAATTCAGGATGCTCTATCACTGAGCCCTTTGGAATATTTTAAATATTTATTTTTTAGTTGTAGTTGAACACATACCTTTATTTTATTTATTTATTTTTTATGTGGTGCTAAGGATCAAACCCAAGGCCTCACATGTGTTAGGCAAGTGCTCTACTGCTGAGCCACAACCCCAGCCCTGGAATACTTTTTATTTTGAAAAAGGATCTCATTAAGTTGTTTAGAGCCTTGTTACATTGAAGAGACTGGCCTTGAACTTGTAAAAAAAAAAAAAAAAAAAAAAAACACCACATGATAAAGCCAGTAAAAAGAAACATCTGGGGGCTGGGGTGTGGCTCAGTGGTAGAGTGCTTGCCTAGCACTGGGTTTGGATTCAATCCTCAGCAACACATAAAAATAATAAGGGTGTTGTATCAAAAAAAAAAAAAAAGAAAAAAAAGAAAAGAAAAACATCTGTAACATCTAGGAACAATTTCATTGGGCATGTGAGGACATTTGGTTTGGAATAGTAAGAAAATCTAAATTAAGCTTTACATGCACAAAATAAGAAAATAATTAGCACATGTATTATATAATTAATGCATTCTCCAAGTTCTTTTATTTGGAATTTGAACACTATTGAATATAAGATTAAATTTTGTCTTAACTTGAATTAGCCCTCAGAATACTTTTTTTTTTTTTTAAAGAGAGAGAGAGGAGAGAGAGAGAGAGAGAGAGAGAGAGAGAGAGAGAGAGAGAGAATTTTTTAATATTTATTTTTTAGTTCTCGGCGGACACAACATCTTTGTTGGTATGTGGTGCTGAGGATCGAACCCGGGCCGCACGCACGCCAGGCGAGCGCGCTACCGCTTGAGCCACATCCCCAGCCCCTCAGAATACTTTTGTCACACATTTCAGGTCTAAAATGAAACTAAGCTGAATGGGACATATCGGGAGTGATTTGTTCTCTTTAGACTATAACACTGACTTACACTTCTATGTACCTCCTATTGAAACCTGAATTCTCCAAAAAAGGAGAGAAGAAGAAATAAACAGAGTAGAATAACAAACATGACAGCTGTGGTTCTGAATTGTTTACCTGGAAGGAAGGAAGCCTGAGGAGAAGGCTGTGATATCACCAGGCAGCTCATAGCATCACAGTATGTCATGATTCGGCAGTTTCCTGTCTGAGATACTGTGAAGGTCTTTTGGAAGTGGTACTTGTGCTGGCCCTGGCTGGAGGGCAGGCAGTTTAGGAAACTTGCCTGGGAGTTCCCGGGTTGCTGTGCAATCTGATCTCGATGCTGTATAACAAGTTTTTGCAAATCCTAAAATAAAAAAGGTTTTGTAAACGCAAAGCTGTTTTATTTGACATTTCCTCCAAGAACAATTTCTTGCCAGGGAAGGTGATGTATGCCAGTGCCCAGTGACTCAGGAGGCTGAGGATCCCAAGTCTGAGGCCAGGCTCAGCAACTTACTGAGGCCCTAAGCAGCTTAGTGAGACCTTGCCTTCAAAAACAAGGGCTGGGGGCTGGGGATGTGGCTCAAGCGGTAGCGCGCTCGCCTGGCATGCGTGCGGCCCGGGTTCGATCCTCAGCACCACATACCAACAAAGATGTTGTGTCCGCCAAGAACTAGAAAATAAATATTAAAAATTCTCTCTCTCTCTCCCCCCCAAAAAAACAAAAACAAAAACAAAAAAAACAAACAAGGGCTGGGATTGTAGCTCAGTAACGAGAGTGCTCGCCTTGCACATGTGAGGCACTGGGTTCGATCCTCAGAACATAAACACAAATAAAGGTTCATTTACAACTAAAATATATTAAAAAAAAAGAGAGAGAGAAAAACACACAAACACAAAACACCTTGATCTGCTGGGCAAGATGTCACCTGGCACATGTCTGTAATCCCAGTGGCTAGGGAGGCTGAGATAGAAGGATCGAAAGTTCAAAGCCAGCCTCAGCAAAAGCTAGGCCCTAGGCAATTCAGTGAGAGACCCTGTCTCTAAATAAATCACAAAACAGGGTTGGGGATATGGCTCAGGGGTTAAATGCCCCTGAGTTCAATCCCTAGTACCCAGCTCCCCACTCCCAAAAAAACTTGGCAGAGTTCTTGTACTAAATGTTACCATGAATTCTAGAGAACTGAGTTTTTAGAGTATTTTAACAATCAATGAAATAAGGAGAGTACAGAAGGACAGCTTCATTTTATTGGTAGATTTGGGGAGGTAAAAATGACTTTAGCAAGTTGAGCATTCTCAGTTGGTGTTGGTGTTGGTGTTCAATTTTTCTAAAGTTCTGACTGCAGCAGAATCCATCATGAAGTGTGTTTCAGACAAATAGCCTAATCAGACAGAGAATGAACTGGTCATGTTTCCTTCTTTAACAACTTGATAAATCCTATTTATGTTTGTGATGAACCTATGTAAATATTTAGATTCCTATTATTTGGGGTATTGAACCTGGGCCATGTATATGCTAAGCATATACACTACCACTGAGTTGTAGACACAGCTCTGTTCTTCAATTCTGAATTCAAAATTTAAGTCACAAGAGCAAACTCACCTGGACGCGACTGTGAAGTTTAGTGCATTCATTAGTGAGAACTTGAAGTTGAAGTCGGCACTGTGCAGACTCTAACTCAGCCTGCTTTCTGAGCATTTGCTCCTTCAATAAAGCACTAGAAAAGGAAAGACAGCAATAAATGTGGATCAGAAAGGTTACAGTACAGAAAGATGTCTTAGTATGTTCACACTGTCATATACTTTGCTATAAATCTATCAGGCTAGTGGATAATATACACTGAGTCATAAACAAGAGGAAAACCTCTCCAATTTAAGAAAAACTACAGGAACCACAAGAGAGTATAGCACACAGGGTTTAACTCATGAGCCTACTGTATTTTCTTTCTTTCTTTTTTTTTGTACAGACACATCCCCAGCATGTTTTAAAAATATTTTATTTAGARACAGGGTCTCACTCAGTTGCTTTGAACTTACAATCTGCCTCAGCCCCTCAAGCCACTGGGATTACAGGTGTGCACCACCATGCCCAGCTGGATTTTGTTTTTAAGGCAAGCAATGATGTCAGGAATTTGCCTCTTACTGGGAAATGGGAACTAAAAAAGGTTTTATGTAAAAAGGAGGGAAAAAGAACAAAGCCAACTCTCTGCTTCCAGCTAGAGCAAATGTGATTAAAAGAATGTGTTGAATTAAAACAATAAGCTATTAGTTGTTAATGAAATACTCAAATAAAATCACCAAAAAAGGGGCTGAATTAAAGAGATAAAAGTATATACCTAGCAAATGCTAATAAAATAAAAATCAGTCATAATTAAGGCAAAAAGCATGATCAGGCAATAGCCAGTAATCCATCCCAGTGACTTGTGAGGCAGGAGGATCACCAGTTTGAATTCAGCCTGGGCAATTTACACCATGACTCTAAAATAAAAAGGGGGTTGGGGTTGTAGTTCAGAGGTAGAGCGCTTGCCTAGCCCATGCATGTGTGGCACTGGGTTTGATTCTCAGCTTCATATAAAAATAAATAAATAAAGGTATTGTGTCCACCTAAAAGGACACAAGGGATAGTTTCAATCACTGTTGCCAATGCCAAACCATTAATGAGGAAACGAGCTTAAGAAAAAAGGTTTATTGCTTTGCTAGCAAAGGAGAAACAGAGGGGACTCTTGTCCCAAAGGCTGTGATAGAACAGGGTGGGGGTGGGTGGGTTATCAAGGTGATTCAGAGAAGATTTAGGGAAAAGAAGTTCAGGGAGAAGTGAGAGGTTTAGGGAAAAGATTGGGAAAAAGAAAAAAACATGTAAGTTTCAAAGCCACAAGAGATACAGTCAAAGCGTTAAGTGAACTTGTTATATCCTCAGTACTACACACATACATAATAAAGCATGAAGATATAAAAAACAATATATAATAAAGACATATTCACCAAAAGTAACAATCTTAAATTTGCATATACCTAAAAAGTTTCAAAATATTAAATGCAAAAACAAGGACTGAATTACATTCCAATAAAATCAAAAAGAAAAAAATGATGAAAATCGGAAGGGAAGAGATAAAGCTGCCTATACTTATTTATTTTCAAGAAAAATTCAAGCAACCTCGATGAACCAAGACCAATAAAAGCAGACCTGCTGAGTGAAGTGGTGCGTATCAGGAAGGCTAAGGCAAGAGGATCACAAGTTTGAGGACAGCCTCAGCAACTTAGTGAGACCTTATCTCAAAATCAAGTTCTAGGTCAGTGTAGGCACTTCTATAGAGAAAGACTTTGCTCAAAACAAAACCTAGCAAGGGCTCAATGGTAAAGCACTTGCCTAGCATGTGTGAAGGCCCTGTGTTCAATCTCCAGAACTATAAACCAAAACAACAACAATAAAAAACCAAAAACAAAAAAATTGGGACTGGAGTTGTGGCTCAGTGGCAGAACACTTGCCTAGCATGTGTGAGGCACTGGGTTCAATCCTTAGTACCACATAAAAATAAACAATTAAAATAAAGGTATGCTATCAACCTACAATTTTTTTTTCAAATGATATCAATGGGCTGGGCCTGGGGCTCAGTGACAGAGCACTTGCCTAGCATGTGTGAGGCACTGGGTTCAATCCTCAATACCACATTAAAAAAACATATATATATAAAAATAGAGCTATTATGTCCATCTACAACTAAAAATAATTCTTAAAAAATGATAGACTTGTTAAAAAAAAATCAATAAGATTCCCTACTTACCAGACAACTGATTAGTGAAGGGAATTAAAAAAAAATCATTACCAACAACAATTTTAACAATGACAATCTAGAAATAAAGTTAAAGGATTCAGAAGATCTTTATGAAGCAAAGTATATTCAAAACACAGAAAACCAGAAAAAAAAAAACAAGGAAGGATATTATACAATGTTCATAGCTAGAAAAGACATCATGAAGATTATAACTCCTCAAGTTAACTCTAAAAATTTAATGCTATTTTAATCAAGAGCCCAAAGGATTTACTTATTTTTATTTTTGAGGTACTGGGAATTGAACTCTCGGGTATTCTAACACTGAGCTACATCTCAGCCACCCCGCTTTGGTACCAGAGATTGAACGCAGGGGCACTTAACAATTGAACCATATCCCAAGCCCTTTGTTTTATTTATTTATTTATTATTGATTGATTGTACATGGATTGAACTCTGGGGCTCTCAACCACTGAACCTCATCCCTAGCCCTACTTTGTACTTTTATTTAGACAGGGTCTCATTGAGTTGCTTAGTGTCTCGTTGTTGCTGAGGCTGACTTTGAACTCTCAATCCTCCTCTCTCAGCCTCCTGATTACAGGTATGTGCCACCATGTCCGGCTTCGACCCCTTTATTTTGATACAGGGTCTCACTAAATTGCCTAGGCTGCCCTCCAACTTGTGATCCTCTCGCCTCAAATCTCCCTCTCACCTCAATATCTCATTTGAGTTCACATGTGTGTGCCACTCAGTTTTACATGGAACTTAAAAATTAATTTTAGCTGGTATGATGGCCCAAGCATGTAATCCCAGCTGCTCAGGTATCTGCAGCAGGAGGATGAGAATTCAGCAGGAGGATGAGGTCAGCCTGGGCAATTTAGTAAGGCTCACTGTCTTAAATTGTAACTTAATATAATTTTTTCACAAAGTATAAAAACTTTCTAAGCCACACAATATATAATCATTCTTGGGAATGATAAACAATTTATAAAAGTGGTTTTATCTCTGCTGGGCACTGTGGTGAACACCTATAATCCCAGCGGCTCGGGAGGCTAATACAGGAGGATCATGAGTTCAAAACCAGCCTCAGCAAAAGCAAGGTGCTAAGCAACTTAGCAACAACCTGTCTCTAAATAAAATTCAAAATAGGATGGGGATATGGCTCAGTGGTCGAGTGTATCTGATTCAATCCCTGGTACCAAAAAAAAAAAAAAAAAAAAAAAAAAAAAAAAGGTGTCTCTCTTTTCTTCCCTCTAGTTTTTTAAATGCCCAGACTGATCTCTAACATATGGGCTCAAGTGATCCTCTCATCTCAAGTCTCCCCAATAGTTAGGACTATAGGTATGCTACCACACTCAGCTAGGATTTATTCCTTTAGCCAAACCTATAGATTTTGCCTTTTTATTTATTTTAATAGCATTGGGGATGGAACCTGGGTCCTCATACATACAAGGAAAGCACTGTAAACTGAGCTACATTCTATGCCTTTTTTTATGTGCTTTATTCCCTGCTTTGGTACTGGGAATTTAACCCAGGGGTACTTTACCACTGAGCCATATCCTAAGCCCCTTTTTATTTTAAACTTTGAGACAGCATCTTACTAAGTTGCTTAGGACCTTGCTAAATAGCTGAGGTGGCCTGTTTAAGGTTCTTTTTAACATTTTCTGTACCAGGAATTGAACCCAGGTGCACTTAACCACTCAGTCACATCCCCAGCCCTTTTTTGGTATTTTAATATTTAGAGACAGTGACAGGCTAAATTGCTGAGGCTGGTTTTAAAGTTGCGATCCTACCTCAGACACCTCAACCACTGGGATTACAGTTGTGTGCCACCGTGCCAGGCTCTTTAATATTCTTCTTTTTAGTTGTAGTTGGATACAATATCTTTATGTGATGCTGAGGATTGAACCCAGGGCCTCACCCATGCTAGGTGAGTGCTTTACCGCTAAGCAACAACCCCAGCCCCCTCTTTAATGTTCTTAAAGCATATTTTACATAGTAGCCTTTGTTTGGTACTGTGGATTGAATTCAGGGGTGCATTACCACTGAGTTACATCCCCAACCCCCTCCCTTTAAATATTTTTTAGTTGACGATGAACCTTTATTTATTTATATGTGGTGCTGAGAATCAAACCTAGTGCCTGACACATGCTAGGCAAGTGCTCTTGTACTAAGCCACAACCCCAGTCTCCCAACCCTTTTGAGACAGGGTCTTGCTAAGTTGCCCAGGCTGGCCTTGAACCTGGGATCTCCCTGCCTCAGACTCCCAAGTCACTGCGATTACAGGTATACCCTACCATACTCAGTTTTAAGTAGTACTTTAAGCAACTGTTTAAGGCTTACAAAATGTTGGTAGTTTTTTGCATTGCATGTGCAAATTTTTTATATGAGCTTTCTATTAGGAGAGCTGTTGTACAGGGCCTTAGGAACATGAAAAGCAAAAATGGCATCAGTTAGCTGGGGATGTGGCTCAAGCGGTAGCGCGCTCGCCTGGCATGCCTGCGGCCCGGGTTCGGTCCTCAGCACCACATACCAACAAAGATGTTGTGTCCGCCAAAAACTGAAAAATAAATATTAAAAAAAATTCTCTCTCTCTCTCTCTCTCTCTCCTTTCTATCTTAAAAAAAAAAAAAAAGGCATCAGTTAAGGAATGTGCTAGACTGTTGCCCCTGTTCTTTGTGACAGGGTCTTGATATGTTGCCCAGGCTGGCCCCAAACTTATGGGCTCAATCATCCTGCCTCAATCTACTAGGTTTCTGGGACTAGAGTGCAACACAGCACCCAGCTTCAGATGTTCATTTTTAATGCTGTATAGAGAGCAAACAGTGCAGATTCCCTTCAGAAGATCATCAGGTGTGCATTATAAATAATAATGTAGGACAGACTGCAATCTCTCCAGAGATTCCCAAATCAGAAAGTCTCAGAACCACACTAAAAGTGGTTTCATACTCCCTTTTAAAGATGTGCCTATGAGAACACAAAGGGAATAGTCCAGGTAGGTACACTCTCACCACTTACCTTTTCACCCGCTCTTGTTCACTGGTGTCCAAAGCTCTGAGGGTTCGGGCATAAAGGACAATGATGTCATTGTGCTTGGCTTTCTTGTTGCACTAAAGAGTCCAATGGAAAACAATTAGTGTGGTTCTAGGAATTCTGACTTAACATATTAGGTCCTTACTTAATTATGGTCCTTACCTGGGGACATTTTCGTGCTTGTCCTTTAAGCCACTTAGAAATGCATCTATACCCAAAGAGGTGCCCACAGCGTAATGCTGAGAGCCGGTGGTCGCCAGCATTGGTCCACTGTTCCAAACATATCGTGCAAGTATCCCCTTCTTCTTCATCCATAGAAGCAGAAGGTAGAGTAGGATTGGATTTCTGGGGAGACTGCTGGATGGAAATTGGGATACACTCAAATGAGAAAATGCAAAATCAGGCTCAAAAAGGGTAAACAACTCTATCCAATTAACAAAAGTACACAAAAATGACACAAACCTCACTGAAATGGATGCAGAAAAACTGCAATACCTATAAATTACTTTTTATTTTTTTCTAGAATGCAATCTGGCAAAATATAAATCATGAAAATACTGTTACTTTTTGTGGTGCTGGGGATTGAACCCAGGGGTTCACGCATACTACACATATATTCTAACTCCCAGTCTTTTTGAAACACATCTCGCTAAATTGACAACGCTGCCATTGAACTTGTAGTCCTCCTGTCTGTCTCCTGCATCACTGGGATTATGGGTGTATACCACCACTCCTGGCTCCATACTACTATTTTTTTTTTTTTTTTGGGTACTGGGGGTGCTTTACCACTGAGCCATATCACAAGGTCTTTTTTTTTTTTTAATATTCAAAAATTTTTTAGTTGCAGTTGGACACAATATCTTTACTTATTTATTTTCATGTGGTGTTAAGGATGAAACCCAGGGCCTCACATATGGTCTATCTCTGAGCCACAATCCCAGCCACAGGGTCTTGTTGAATTGCTTAGGGCCTTGCTAGCTGCTAAGGCTGGCATCAATCGTGTGATCCTCCTGCCTCAGCCTCCCAAGCCACTGGGATTAAAAGCCCATACTACCTTTTGATCTTACTAAATTCTTGGATTTTCCCTTCATTGAAGAAAAGCAGCAGTTGGGGTTTAGCTCAGTGGCGGAGCACTTGCCTAGCATGTGCAAGGCCATGAGTTCGGTCCTTAACCCTGGTAACTAAAACAAAACAAAAACAAAAAAGAAAAGAAAAACAACTAGAGCTGATGTGGCTCAGTAGAACACTTGCCTAGCATGTGTGAGGCACTGAGTTAGACTCTCAGCATTGCATATAAATGAATAAATAAATAAAGGTCCATTGACAACTAAAATTATAAATACACACATTACAAAAGAGCAGCTATCTGTACAAAGATATAAAAACAAAACGAAAATATTCTAGCAACTACCATTATAATCAACAGGAGATAGTAATAGGATCATGGGCTGGGATTGTGGCTCAGTGGTAGAGTGTTCACCTAGCACGCATGAGGCACTGGGTTTGATCCTCAGCACCACATTAAATAATTAAAGATATTGTGTCCATCTAAAACTAAAAAATAAAATATATAAAAAAAAAAAGTACATATGGATGTCTGATGACACCAGGCACTGTTGAAGGTGAGAGAGAAATGGACATGCTTACATACTGGTGTTATATAAGTATAAAGTTGCACTAATTCCTGGAGGGTAATTTGGATATCTATCAAAATTACAACGTGTCTTTGATACAGCAATGTCTCTGCTAAGAAATATACCCCCAATGGGTATAATCACAAATATTTGTGAAGACAACTGAATAAAGATGTTCAGTGCAATATGATTCATATCATAAAAACATAAAAAGAGCAAACAACCATGGTGTACACAACCAGAGTTAACTAAAAATTTATTCCTACAATGGAATACTGTACAGCTATTAAAAACAAGAGTCAAATCTATATACTGACAATGGAAAGCTCTCCAAGATGTAATAAGCTGGGGAGTGGGGAAAAAGCCAGATTAAGGACAAAATATAATTCTTTCTGTGTAAATTTTTAACAAGAAACACATATAAATATGTGTTTATATGTATGTAAAAGATTTTCAGAAATAGAAACATGGAGACAATATAGAAACATGCAAGAAAGTAGACAAATGATGTTCTGAGATTGACAGAATTCAAAGCAGGTGTAAATGATTCATATATAGGAAAATAAGCACATATGTCATCTTAAAAAATGAAAAGCTGTTTATCACATTCTGCTTGAAATTTTTAAGGCACATTTATACCTATTTTTAAATATTTTCCAGTATTGGGAACTGAATCTAGGGGGAACTCTGCTACATCCACAGCCCGTTTTGCTTTTTATTTTAAGATAGAATGAGCACAGGTTGTGGGACTGGGGAGGAGTCTCATTAAGTTGCTGAGGCTGGCCTTATACTTGCGATCCTCCTGTCTCAGCATCCCAAGACTCTGGGATTACGTGTGTGGACTACCTTGCTGAGATATACCTAATTTCTTAACTGATATTTAACCATGTTAGATAGACAGACAGTTATTCTGAAGAACCCTCATCCTTTTTAAACTTAAGAGGAAGCAATCATGGAAATAATGAGAAACAGGGAAAGGATCCACATCTAGGCTTGTTATGGTTCGGGTATGAGGCATCCCCCAAAAGTTCATGTGTGAAACAATGCAATTACTTTTTTTTTTTTTAGTTCTCGGCGGACACAACATCTTTGTTGGCATGTGGTGCTGAGGATCGAACCCGGGTTGCACACATGCCAGGCGAGCGCACTACCGCTTGAGCCACATCCCCAGCCCCGAAACAATGCAATTACAAGAGCTGTAACAATCAGTGGCTTAATCCACTGATGTATTAACCAGGTAGTAACCTTAGGCAGGTAGGAGGAAGGTCATTGGGGGCATGCCTTTGGGGTATATACTTTGTCCCTGGTGAGTGAAGCTCTCTCTGCTTCCTTTTTGCCATGTCGTGAGCTGCCTTCCTTTTCCACTTACTTCCATCATGACGTTCTGCCTTATAGTGGACCCAGAACTATAGAGGTAAACCATGGACTGAACCTCTAAAACTGTGAGCCAAAATAAACTTGTCCTCCTCTATTTGTTATTAGGTCTTTGGTCACAGGGCTTACTGTCTTCAAAGCCTGAAAGCTTTATATATATATATATATATATATATATATATATTTTTTTTTTTTTTTTTTTGAGAGAGAGAGAGAGATTCTTTTAATATTTATTTTCTAGTTTTCGGCGGACACATCTTTGTTTGTATGTGGTGCTGAGGATAGAACCCGGGCCGCACGCATGCCAGACCAGGGCACTACCACTTGAGCCACATTCCCAGCCCAAAGCTTTCTATTTTAAACTGCAACCACCTTTAAGATGAAATATAAACTTTTCATTTAAAAGCATGTTTATATTACCTGTTTGGGAAGGGTCTTGTCTCCACTGATAAATGTAACTTCTTGGTCTGCTGAGACATCTCCCAGTTGCTCTGCCAAATTGTATCCAAAAATGACAGAATAGATAAAAATGGGGCGGGGGACACGACATTAGGTACAAGAAAGTAGCAGGAGAAAGTCTAACTCACTGAAGCTTTCCATTTCTAATCGGTACTAATCTGCAAGAGGGATGACATTTCCCCAAATACCATCAATGAATTTATTACTATCATTACTATTTATTTATTTTGTATATTCTTAAGCATACATAGACAAGGGACTGAATTTACAAAATTTTTCTTTCAAATACGGAATCCATTTCCTTCTCAGATGTGTAAGAAAATGAAAGAGAATTTTACATTTTATTACAAAGGGACTGACTCACAGGGACACAAATCAAATAAAACCATGAGTCAGATCAAATCCTCATTATAACCATGATCAGAGAAAGCTCTGTAGTGTAAGCAGAGGAATCCATGATATTTAAAGGAGAAAGGGAAGGTATAAAAGTACAAATCTACATTTTCTTGCCTTCTGAAGCTTGAGCTTTGTGGATGTTAAACTTTTGAATTCAAACATGGATAAAATGCTGACCTTCTGAAATGACAGCTTCAGTCTCTTCTGCAGGGACAACAACCTCTTCATACTCTGCAGAGCTCTCACTGTCAGAATCAGAACTGCTTGACACTGGCAAGTCTTCAGGTACAGGATCCCTAGTCTCTGAATCAAAAGATGCAGCTGGAAAGTGAGGCTGGGTCCTGCTCACCTGAAAGTAAGCATCCAGTGGTGCTCTCAACCTATATATGCAAAAGACAACAGAATCATACTATAATACACCATCATCAAACTAATAACCTATAGTAATGTGAAGGTAAATCTTAGTTATTTCAATTATTTCAATATGCTACCTTTGAAAGTTGTAGAAGGAAGAGCAGATATATAGACAGATGCTCACTGGCCTGGGTATTCTTTTCAGTAGTGAGAATTGAACACAGAGGCACTCTACTACTGAGCCATATCACCAGCCATCTTTTTAGTTTTTGAGACAGGGTCTTGCTAAGTTGCCAAGGCTGGCCTCAAACTTGCAATACTCCTTCTTCAGCCTCCAGAGCTGCTGGGATTATAAGCATGTGCCAGCACAACCTGCTGGATATTTTTAAAATCACTGCTACTTTGGTCCACAGTGGAGCACGACTCTTCTGCTTAAAGTTAATTCTGCTTGACTTTACAGTTTCTCACATTGTAAAACTACTGACTTAAAAGCGAACAACTTGCCAGGTGCGGTGGTGCATACCTATAATTCCAGAGGCTCGGGAGGCTGAGGCTCAGGAGGATGGTGAGTTCAAAGCCAGCCTCAGCAAAAGCGAGGTGCTAAGCAACTCAGTAAGACCCTGTCTCTAAATAAAAATACAACATAGGGCTGAGGCTAGGGCTCAGTAGTCGAGTGCCTGAATTCAATCCCTGGTACTCCCCTCATGGCCCCCCAAAAGCGAACAACTTGCTGAGCATGGTGGCTCATACCTGTATTTCCAGTGATTCAAGAGGCTGAGGTAAAAAATAAAAGGGCTAGGGATGTAAGAATAATGTCAGTGGTCTTTAGCATGCACAGAAACTACGTAATTGTGCCACAATCTGATTCCAAAACATTTTCATGTTATCTAACAGGAACCTTCTACTCATAAGCAGTCATTTCCTTTCTCTCCTCCTTCCAGAAATCACTATTCTACTTTCCATCTATAGATTTGACTATTCTGGACATTTCGTATGAACTGAATCTTACAATATATGGCCTTTTATGTCTGGACTCTTTACAACTTAATAAAAGATCATCTATAAAAATTATAGCTTCATTTTTTTCCCTTTCTTGTCAAGCTTCCTGGTACAAAGTTGAACAAAAGTGATAAAAACAGAAATCTTTGTCACGTTTCTCATTTTAGGAGTAAAGTTTACAGTCTTTGACCATTTATTGAGATGTTATTTAGAAATTTTTCATTAATGACTTTTATCCTGTTGAGGAAATTCCCGTCATTCCTAGTTTACTGTGTATGTTTATCATGACGTGGTCTTGGATAGCATCTATTGAGATATTCATTCTTTTACCCATATTGTTTTTATTTTCATTTTTGGTACTAGGATTTAACTAGGAGTATTCTACCTCTGAGCTACACCCCCAGCCCCTTTTAAAATTTTTGAGAGGGAAAAAGCCAGGTATGGCAGTGTGCGCCTATAATCTCAAAGACTTTAAAGGCTAAGCAGGAGGAACCAAAGTCTGAGGCGAGATCCTGTCTCAAAAAATAAAAAGGACTGGGGATACAGATCAGTGATAGAGGATCCTGGGTTCAATTTACAGTACTGATTTAAAACAAAACAAAACAGGGGTGGGGTGGGGAGTCTCAATTGCCAAGCTGGCCTTAAACTTGTGATTCTCCTGCCCTCAGCTTTCCCAATTCACTGGGGTTACATGCATGCACCACTACACCCAACCCCTATACTGAGATACTATGGTGTATATCATTAATTGCTTTTTGACTGTTGAATCAACTTTGCTTTCCTGGAACAAATGCTATTTAGTTATGATATATAATCCTTCCTACACGTTGCTGGATTTGGTTTGCTAGCATTTCACTATATGATTTTGGTACCAAAACAGTACTGACCTCATAGAATCAGGAAATATTCTCTCCTTCCATTTTTGGAAAAAGAGTTTATGAAGTAATATATGCTTATTTCCTTTTAAATTACTCGGTAGAATTCATGAGGGATACCATCTGATTCTGGAATCTTCTTTGTGAAGTGCTCTTATCTCTTTTTCTTTTCTTTTTTTTGGGGTGCTAGGCATTGAACTAAAGGCTTCATAAATGCTAGGTCAGCACTTTAACACTGAGCTAGGCACCTAAACCTTTTCTAAATTTACTTTATAAAAGGCTATTGCGGGCTGGGGTTGTGGCTCAGTGGTAGAGCACTCACCTAGCATGCATGGGGCACTGGGTTCAATCCTCAGCACCACATAAAAATAAAATAAAGGTATTATGTCCACCTACAACTAAAAAAAAAAAAAAAAAAAAAAAAGACAGGATCTTGTTAATTGCCCAAGGTGGTCTCTAACTTGCCAGACTCTCAAGTAGGTGGGATCACAGTATGTGCAACTATCCCTGGCATGCTTTTAATTATTACTAATTAAATCTCTATACTTGTTTTGTTCTACTCAGATCCCCCCCACCACCAAGAGCATTGGTAGCTTATATCTTTCTAATTATTTGACATTTTTACCTAAGGCATTTAATTTCTTGACATAAAAATGTTCACAGTATTCCTTCATAATACTGTTCTCTTTCATAAAATTGGTAATATCCTCTAGTCCAATACCAATTTTAATATTTTCTTTTGTGGTACAGATTGAACTCCACCACTGAACTATAGCCCCAACTCTTTCTATTTTTTAGATAGGATCTCATTAAGTTGCTGAGGCTGGTCTCAAACTTGCAATTCTTTTGCTTTAGCCTCCTGAGTAGCCAGGATTACAGGCATGTGCCCCTTTGCTGGACCCTGAGTCTTCTCTATTTAGTTTTTTTGTTACTATTCTTTTCTTTTTAAATATTTATTTAGTTTTAAGTGGACACTATATCTTTATTTTACATTTATGTGGTGCTGAAGATCAAACCCAGTGCCTCATGCATGCTAGGTGAGCACTCTACCACTGAGCCACAATCCCAGCCCCCCATTCTTTAAAAAAAAACCAAAAAACTTTTATGTATTTTATTGTGGTGCTGAGGATTTCACAGTGTCTCACATGGTCTAGGCAAGCACTCTACCACTGAGCTACAACCTTAGCCCCCTCTATTTAGTTTTTGTTCAATCTAGTTAGAAACCTGTCCATTTTGCCAATGTCTTACAAGGGCTAGGGATATATGTCAGTGGCAGAGTGTGTGCTATTATTAGCAAATACAAGGCCCTGGGTTCAATTCTCAAACTTTTGGATTGGTTCACTTTCTCTCTTTTTTCTCTATTTCATATATTGCCTTTTGTGGGGCAGTGGTGGTACTGAAGCGTTCTACCCTTGAGCTACATCCCCAGCTCTTTTTATTTTTTGAGACAAGGTCTCACTACGTTGTTGAGTCTGGCATGGAATTTATGATCCTCCTGCCTCAGCCTCCCAAACCACAGGATTATAGAAACATACCACCATGTACAGATAGGTTTTTATTATGTTGTTCAAGTCTTCTACCTTCCTTGTTAATTTTCTAATTGTTTGACTCATATTTTAAAGTATCAGCTGGGTATGGTGACATATGCCTGTAATATTGCAGGTTTAAGGCCAGCCTTAGCAACTTAGAGGCTCTGAACAACTTAGCAAGACCCTTTCTTAAAATAAAGAAGTCGGGACTGAGGTTGTGAGGGTACTGGGTTCAATCCTCAGCACCACATAAAAATGAATAAGTAAAGTAAAGGTAATGTGTCCATCTACAGCTAAAAATTTAAAAAATAAATTAAAAAAGTAAAAGGACAGAGAGCTCAATGTTAGAGCACTTGCCTAGCACATGTAAGGCACTAGGTTCAATCCTCAGCACCACATAAAAATGAATAAGTAAAGTAAAGGTAATGTGTCCATCTACAGCTAAAAATTTAAAAAATAAATTAAAAAAGTAAAAGGACAGAGAGCTCAATGTTAGAGCACTTGCCTAGCACATGTAAGGCACTAGGTTCAATCCTCAGCACCACATAAAAATGAAAAACAAAACAAAACAAACAAACAAAAACAAAGGTATCCTGTCTATAATGGCTAATTTGAACTCTCAACTTGATTAGAGTAAGAAATGCCAAGGATTAAGATTATGGGTGTGTCTAGGAATGACTGGCATGAGGGATAGCCAACTGAGATGGAGACCCTCCATAAGCGTGGGTAGCACCAACCAAAAGGATGATGGCTTGGATGGAATAAAAGTTGGAAGAAGAAAGAAGCAGCAGCAGATGTAAGCTCAATTCTTCTTGAATGGGTTCTTGGTTACTGTTGCAATTGTCTGAAGATATAATTTTCCCTTTTTCACTCTTCCAAAGAGGACTCTGACAGTGATTCTCCAGAAGGCTTAGGTCTCAGACTAGGGTAGCACCATGGATTCCTCTTGTTCTGGGGCTTCAGCCTCTTAAATTGTGCAGCTACTGGTTTTCCCAGCTCTCCAGCCTACAGACAGCCATTCTGGACTATCCAGTTTCTGATCACATAAGCCAATCTAATAAGTCCCCTTTTTATAATTATATTTCCGTTAATTCTGTTCCTCTAGAGAACCCTAATACATTGTCCATCTACAACAACAGCAAAAGTAAAAGGACTAAGGATGTAGCTAAGTGGTAGAGAACCCCTGGGTTCAATTCCCAATACCAAAACAAAACAAAACGAAACAAAACAAAAACAGCAGCAGGAGCAAAAAGTGAAGTATTCATGTCTAGTATACGGCCTAATTCTCCCTTTAATTGTCAACTTTTCCTTCATGTACTTTAGGGCTCTTTTGTTAGGTATAGGCAGGTTTATAATTCTTATACCTTCTAGGTGTATTGGTACTTTCGTCATTATAAAAATGCTTTCTTAAACTCATAACCATTTTTTGTCTTAAAACTTATTTTACTGGGCTGGGTTTGTAGCTCAGTGGTAAAGAGCTTGCCTAGCATGTGACACATTGGGTTCGATTCAACACCGCATATAAATAAATGAATAAAATAAAGATCTGTCAACATCTTAAAAAAAGAAAAGCCTATTTTATTTTTTGTATTAGTACGCCAATCCCAGCTCCCTTTTGGTTACTGTTTGTATGGTACATTGTGGGGGGAGGGCTACTAGGGATTGAACTCAGGGGGCACTTGACCACTGAGCCACATCCCCAGACCTATTTTGTAATTTATTTAGAGACAGGGTCTCACTGAGTTCTCAGTGCATCACTGTTGTGAGGCTGGTGATCCTTCTGCCTTAGCCTCCCAAACTGCTGGGATTACAGGCATGTGCTACTGGGCCCAGCCTCTACAGTGGTTTTAGTTCTCTCTGTAAAATGGTATCTGGTTTATAACGTCACCCTCTTATGAGCTCAATATCACAAGTCAGTTGCCTGACCAAAAACAATCAATTCTAGAGTCCCTCCAACCAGACTGAGTGTATAAACAAGCAAAGCTGAGAACTACTGCAAGAGGCCACTTTGCAGTCAGTCAGTTTCTGGGACCATTACTCCTAATTCTTAACTGTGAAAGGGTAGCCCACGTCCTCAAACTGCACACTACAAGGTCCCATTACCTATGACACAAATGTATGAATTTTTTTTTTTTTAAATGGCGCTGGGGCCAGGTACAGTGATGCATGCCTGTAATCCCAGTGGCTCAGAAGGCTGATAAGAGGATTATGAGTTCAAAATCAGCCTCAGCAAAAAAAAAAAAAAAAAAAAAAAAAAAAAAGAGGTGCTGATCAACTCAGTGAGACCCTCTCTCTAAATAAAATACAAAATAGAGCTGGGAATGTGGCTCAGTGGTCAAGTGCCCCTGAGTTCAATCTCTGGTACAAAAAAAAAAAAAAAGGAAAAGAAAGAAAGAAATTCTAACTTATGGTGCTGGGGATTGAACCCAGGGCCTTGTATATGCAAGGCAAGCATTCTACCAACTGAGCTATATCCCTAGCCCACGAAATCTTACTCTGCCTTTATAGTCTGAGAAATGACAGGTTAATAATGATATTAATGTATATTTGCAACTCAAGATCAGAGCCACAGCAATAGCAAGCTCTGAGACAACAATTAGCAGGATCCATGGTAAAAAGATGCAAGAACTGGGGATGTACTCAGTGGTAGAGTGCTTACCTAGCCTATGTTGAGTTCTGGGTTAGTACTTCTAAACACGCATTAAAAGGGTGGGAGGAGGCTGGGACATGGTGCAGTGGTTAAGTGTCCTGAGTTCAATCCCAGCACCTCCTCCCACCCAAAAAGATTCTGAATCAAGAACCAGAAGGCAATAGTCAAATTTTAGAGTCACCCCAGGCAAATCACAAGTTATTCCATTGGCTCTCTCATTTGTAAAACAGGTAACAGATGACCTAGCTTCTGCATTTTAATATTATCTCAATTATTTCCATAGTGTTAGAAAACAAGTCAAATCAAAGGTCCACTATGTTAACCCTTTTGTGCTATAACTACGAGACCCTGAATACTGTACTCTCTCAGGGTCCAAATTTGTTTCACATACAAAATGAAGAAGTTAAATTCAATCTCTAAACATTATGAAAATATTCAGAGGTCAGATGTGAAAAAGGGCATTTTAAATAAAACCACAAGGCATAGAAAATGTTATTCTTCATCTTATCAAGTCTTTTAAGGCTTGACAGCTAAGCCCTTATTAAAGAGGCAAGACCAAACCAAAGACTATGGACAAAAATTATTTGGGGACTGGGACTATAGCTCAGAAGTAGAGCACATGATTAGAATACACAAGGCTCTGGGGTGAATCCCCAGCACACAGACACCCCAATAAATTATTTTCAACTCTGCAACACATTTTCAAGTGAGGCAACCTGAAATGTCTCCCAATTACTTAGATAGGCTGTGAATTAATTCAAATCCACTTTTTTTTTAAGAGAATTTTTTTTAATATTTATTTTTCAGTTTTTGGCAGACACAACATCTTTATTTTATTTTATGTGGTGCTGAGGATCGAACCCGGCGCCGCACACATGCCAGGCAAGCGCGTTACTGCTTGAGCCACATCCCCAGCCCCTCAAATCCACTCTTTACAAGCCTTTTTTTAAATACCTGTAAGTAGAGTAACCAGTGAACAATGGATCTTGGTTGAGTGGAGTAGACTTGCAAATCAGAAATTTTTTTTTGCATACAAGACACAAAAGATCTAAGAGCTAACTTTGGGCTCTTGTAGCTCAGAGGTAAAGTGTGTGCTCAGCATGTACAAAGCCCTGGGTTCGATCCCCAATATCATATTAAAAAATAAAAACAAATCAGGCATAGTGGCACATGCCTGTTTTCTCAGTGACTCAGAGGCTGAGGCAAGAGGATTGAAAGTTCATGGATAGCTGCAGCAACTTAGCAAGACCCTGTCTCAAAATAAAAAATAAAGGGACTGGAGCTATAGCTCAGTGGCAGAGTGCTTGCCTCGCGCATATGAGGCACTGGGTTTGATTGTCAGCACCACATAAAAATAAACAAAATAAAGCCATGCTTTATTTTGTTTGTCCATCTACAACTAAAAATAAATAAATAAAAATTAGGAAAAAAATAAAAATTAAAAAAAAAAAACAGGGACTGGGGTTGTGGCTCAGCAGTAGAGCGCTCTCCTAGCACATGTGCGGTCCTAGGTTCAATCCTCAGCACACATAAAAATAAATAAAACAAAGGTATTGTGTCCAACTACAACTAAAAAACAAATATTAAAAAGGGGGGGGGGATGAGAATGGGGATGTAGCTCAGTGGTTAAATGCCTCTGTTCAATCTATAGTGCCAAAAAATTAAAACAACCACCATTGCCACCATCAAAAAACCACACTTCCATAGAAACTATTACTAAAACAAACTGGCCCCTAGTTTTCAAAGCATACCTGTGTGACTTATTCCTTCAATTACTTAGTGAAGCAAAACGAGACATTTTCATTTCTACCTGACTTATAAGGAAGTAACGGTTCAAAACAGTTATCCTTAGCAGCATTTGGGGTATGGCCAGAGCCCGAGTTTCATAATTCTAGTATGGCACTGACCATAGGACTTATACATAAATTTACCTGGCATTGTCGGTCCTCTGAGATCCTGAAGCTCTTGCCCTCCGAGAAGTGGACCCCCTCCTCCTCCTCGATCTCACTGGCCCCACACTTTGGTCTGAAGGTGGAGGTCTCAGGAATTCCAGCATTCCATGAAGTCTCTGCAGCCCACTGATGAAGCTGTTCATTGAATCCAAGGAAGCTGCTTGGAGAGTATGGTTAGCACCAGATCCCTGTCTATGCTCTTCTGAAGCCCCAGGATTAATGTTCTCCACATTATCTTCTGAGAGCTCCACTTCCTCAGTCAGGTCAATGGATATGTGTGGAGCAGGGTGGAGCAGGGGTAGTACCCCTTGGCTGCTGACTTCTTCAGCAGGAGCAGGCTGGGGGAGGGGTGGTCCCCCATGGCTGTTGACTTCTTCAACAGGAACAGGCTGGAGAAGGGATGGTCTTTCTTGGCTGCTGACTCCTTCAGCAGGAACAGGATGGAGCAGGGGTGGTCTTTCTTGACTGCTGACTCCTTCAACAGGAACAGGTTGAAGGAGGGGTGGTCTCCCTTGGCTGCTGACCACTTCAGTGGGAGCAAGCTGTTCTGTAGCATGATCTAACTGCACCTGAAGATCATAGTCCATTGCTTCTTGAGCCATCACTGGGGAAATGTATTAGTAAAATAGATAAAAACATGTTATATAGCTGATATAATCATTAACTAGTCTTTCAGAATTTTTGTTTAAGATAATTTGTAGCAAAACTGACACTTAAATGGGACTGGGGTTGTGGCTCAGTGGTAGAGTGCTTGCCTAGCATGTGTGAGGCACTGGGTTTGATTCTCAGCACCACATATAAATAAAGGTTCATCAACAACTAAATTAAAAAAAAAAAACCACGGACACTTTTAAGATCTAAGAAGTCAAAAGGGTTTTGGTAATCAACATTTTCCCCATAAGGAACACATACACACACAGCCAGTTGTGGTGGTGCACACTTATTTATTTTTTTTTTTTTGAGAGAGAGAGAGAGAGAGAGAGAATTTTTAATATTTATATTTTAGTTCTCGGTGGACACAACATCTTTGTTGGTATGTGGTGCTGAGGATCGAACCCAGGTCGCACACATGCCAGGCGAGCGCGCTACCTCTTGAGCCACATCCCCAGCCCTGGTGCACACTTATAATCCCAGCTACTCAAGAAGCGTAGGCAGAAGATCACAAGTTCAAGGTCAGCCTGGGAAACTAAGCCAAGACCCTATCTCAAAATAAAAAGGGTTGGGGATGTAGCTCAATGGTGGTAGGGTACTGTTGGGTTCAAACCTCAGTACTGAAAGTTTGTGTGTGGGTGAGGTGGAGGACAGCACTTATAACCAGCTTTATAGGTTGCCCTTTAAAACATAAAATCCTGGGCTGGGGTTGTGGCTCAGAAGTAGAGCGCTTTCCTAGCATGCATGAGGCACTGGATTCGATCCTCAGCACCACATAAAAATAAAATAAAGGTATTTTGTCCACCAACAACTAAAAAGTAAATATTTAAAAAATAAAACATAAAAATCCTGTGACTATAGTAATATGCCAAAATAGATCTATAAAACAAGGGGACCACACTATCTTCCAGAAATCCTGCAGTTCTTTGTCTTACCCGTAATGTGGACGTTTACAAAACACAAATGCACATGATACTATATATAATTTTAGCAGGCAATATTCACCTTCTGTAGCATCAAGTTATAAAGGGCACACAGGATATTTTTTGTGTCTGTGTGTGATTGACCTCAGGACCTCATATACGCTAAAGCATGTGCTGTACGACTGAGCTACATCCCCAGCCCTGAGAACATTTCTATACTTGCAAAATTAACTCAGTTATTACCTCAATATAGAAATTAACCCAATTTCTCCAAAAAGGTCACACAATCTTTATTTTTTATTTATGCTTCCAGTCTCTAATTCTATTACATTTTCCCATTCAGCAGGTATTTATTAAGCACCTGTTACACAGTCAGCTACCCCATAGGCAAAGACAAGTAAGACCATGTATTACAGAATTTACTTTCTAGTGAGTTGCATCCCATACTGTCTTCTCTTTAAAAAAAGAAATAAGGGGGCTGGGGTTGTGGCTCAGCAGTAGAGTGCTTGCCTAGCACATGTGAGGCCTGGGTTCGAGCCTCATATAAATAAATAAAATAAATAAAGCTACCGTGTCCAACCACAACCAAAAAATAAATCAAAAAAAGAAACAAGAAATTACAGACTAACATTTGATCTGAGGAGTGGAGAGGGAGAAGGGAGTATCACTTTAAATATGAATGTGAGGAAAAGTGTCTAAAACAGTGAAAATTGAACCAAGGCATAAAGGATGAAAAAGTGGTAGCACACACCTGTAATCCCAGGGGCTCAGGAGGATAAGGCATGAGGATGCCAAGTTCAAAGCCAGCTTCAGCAACTAAGCAAGACCTGTCTCAAAAAAAAAAAAAAAAAAAACAAACAAACAAACAAAAAAAAAGAAAGTTCAAAGCCAGCTTCAGCAACTAAGCAAGACCTGTCTCAAAAAAAAAAAAAAAAAAACCAAACAAACAAACAAAAAAAAAGAGGGCTGAGGATATGGCTCAGCAGTTAAGCACTCCTGGCACAAAACAAAACAAACAAAAAAACCCCCCACCAAAATACAAAACAACAATCTGACCATATGAACAATCAAAAGAAGAATTTTCACAAGGAAATGAGTGCACAGGTTCTTGACAAGTATGGGTTTGACTCACAGCATTGGGTCCAATCCTCAGCACCACATAAAAATAAATAAAGGTACTTTGTCCACCTACAACTTAAAAAAGGGTGGTGGGGGGGGACAGTGTAATGAACTCAATGAGGAAAATAAAACAGGGATTTAGTGGATGGGCAAGATACCATCATGGAGGTCTCATGATCTTGGTAAGGGGTTTCTTCCGTTAGGAATGGACAACAGGAAAGCAAGAGTGCAAGCCAGGTGACCAGTTTGAAGCAACTGTGAAGCTGACATTAGACATGGAAATATGAGCAAGAGTGGAAGCAGTGGAGGTAAAAAGTTACCCACTTTAGCTTTAAGAATCTTAACAAACCATGCATAGTAGGTACATGTCAGTAATCCCAGAAACTTTTGAGGCTGAGAAAGAAGGGTAGAAAGTTCAAAGTCAACCTGGCAATTCACAAAGACCAGATTCTCAGGTGCTCAAGATAAAAAAAAAAAAAAAAGGATGCGGATGTAGCTTAGTGGTAAATCACCCCTGGTTTTAAACTTCAGTCCCACAAAAAAACAAAAATAAGCAACCTTCATAGTCTTGTGGGGTTTCTGGTTTCTGTTCATTTTTGGTGCTGGGGCTAGAACCCAGGGCCACATGTGTTCCAGGCAAGCACTTTACCACTTAGCTACAGAGCCAGCCCAGTCAGGGCTTAGCAGAAGTAGATTAAACCATCTCAGAAGGAAAAGAAACACAGAAGAGGGTCAACACTAAAACCACAGGACAATACTTAGGAAAGGAAAACAACAAGACTTTGTTTTTTTTACGGGCCCATGTGGTGTTTTGCAAGAATATTTCAAGGAAGGAAAAGTCAAGATGTCAAGTGAAGCCAGCGCTGTGGTGCACACCTGTAATTCCAGGGACCCAGGAGGCTGAGGCAGGAAGATCACAAGTTCAAAGCCAGCCTGGGCAACTTAATGAAACCTGCAGCAACTTAATAGAGATTCTCTCAAAACAAAAACTAAAAAGGACTGGAATGTAGCTCAGTGGTTAAAACGCCTAAGTTCAATCCCCAGTACCAAAAAAAAAAAAAAAAGGGGGGGAAAAGTGTCAAGTGAGCCAGGTATACTGGCTGAGTTGCTTATGCAAAATTACTAAGTTGCTCATGCCTCGTTAAATTGCTGAGGCTGGGCTGGGGATGTGGCTCAAGTGGTAGCGTGCTCGTCTGGCATGCATGCAGCCCGGGTTCAGTCCTCAGCACCACATACAAACAAAGATGTTGTGTCCACTGAAAACTAAAAAATAAATATTAAAATTCTCTCTCTCTTTAAAAAAAAAAAAAAAGTGCTGAGGCTGGCTTTGAACTCACGATCCTCTAGCCTCTGCCTCCCGAATCGCTGGGATTACAGGCATGCACCACCAAGCCCAGCTTTCTTCTTTTTTTGGTACCTGGGATTGAACCCAGGGGTTCACTGAGCCACATCCCCGACCTTTTAAAATATTTTATTAGAGACAGTGTCTTCATGAGTTGCTTAGGGCTTCCCTAAACGATCCTGCTGCCTTAGCCTCCTGGGATTACAGACGTGTGCCATTGCTCCTGGCTTCCCTAGCTGCTTTCTCCTACACAGTATTCTGGCTTATACAGAATTTGTGCTCTAAGGCAGAAGATTAGGGAATTATTCTCTGAAGAAAACAAGCCCAAGGGAGAATAAAAAAGACTATAGATTGATAGTTGTGAATCTCCCAAGAAAATGGTTGGGTCTATACCATCCATTAAGTGGATGTTAGGTAAATACTAGCATTAAAAGCCCTTCAGTTGATAAGGTCCAGCTACTTATACATAGTTTTCAGCTTTCCAGGGGTCTTTCCTCAAAAATGAAAAATAGCCAAGGATCAGCTGGCATTTGAGGAAAATCCCCAACATGACAGAAAAGACCAAACCAGGCAAGCAGGAAAAACTGAAGAAAGAAGACAATGCAACAGTTAAAACAAACCAAAACCAAAAAAGATTCGAACCAAACTAGTCAAAATCCTTAAAATTTTACCAGTATAAGATGAACTGGGATTGTAGCTCAGTGGTAGAGTGCTTGCTTAGCATGTGTGAAGACTGGGTTCAATCCTCAGCACCACATAAAAATTTAAAAAAAGGTATTGTTTCATCTACAACTTAAAAAAAAAAAAAAAAGATGGATAGAGGCACATGCCTGAAATCCCAGCAACTTGGGAGGTCTAGGCAAGAGAATCACAAGTTGGGGAACAGTCTAGCAATTCAGTGAGAACCTCAGCAACCTAGTATGACCCTGTTCCAAAATAAAAAAAAATGACTGGAGATACTATTTAGTGGTAAAGCGTGCCTGTGTGCAATTATCAGTAACCCCCCTGCCCCCCCCAAACCAAACAAAAGATATAATAGAAAGATTTGAAAATAGGACCAAGGAACTCTTCCACAAAGTAGAATAAAGACAGTCAAATAAGAATAAAATCATGGGGCTAGGGTTGTGGCTCAGCGGTAGAGCACTCACGTACATGTGAGGCCCTGGGTTCGATCCTCAGCACTACATAAAAATAAACAAACAAATAAAATACAGGCATTCTGTTAATCTACAACTAAAAAAAAAAATTAAAAAACATGCAAAATCATGGTATTATCTGGATTTATAAATATATGATAGTAGTATAAAATATAAAAACACTAGATTCCGGGAAAGGGTGCAGGGCTTCAACTATGGAATGATATTTCTGTTAAAAAGCCGAAAGTAAGCCAGGTCCAATGGTGCACACCTGCAATCCCAGCTGCTTGGGAGGCTCAGACAGGAGGATTATGAGTTCAAAGCCAGCCTCAGCAATGGTGAGGTGCTAAGCAACTCAGTGAGGCCTGTCTCTAAATAAAATAAAATACAAAATAGGGCTGGGATGTGGCTCAGTGGTCAAGTGGCCCCGAATTCAACCCCAGGTACACACCTACCCCCCAAAAGTTGAAAGCCATTATATCAGAAGGTAAAGATTCTTTAGATCTGAGTAACACATTTGCAGGTCTTATTGTTCTTTATACTTTTCAGCATATATACAAAAAAATGAAATGTCCTCCCAGCATACACCTAGAGAGCAATTAGTTCTGATTATCACAAGAAGGTGCCGAGCAGAATCCATGTCTGATTGATCAGTGTATTCTCCAAAGCATCAAGTTCATAGCAGGTACTAAATACCTAATGAATGTATCCTCTACACCTAAAAACAAATTTGAAAGAAGACCAAATTTAAAACACAACTAAGCGGGGCTGGGGATGTGGCTCAAGTGGTAGCGCGCTCGCCTGGCCTGTGCAGGGTGCTGGTGTTCTATCCTCAGCACCACATAAAAATAAAATACAGATGTTGTGTCCACCTAAAACTAAAAAATAAATATTGAAAAAAATTCTCTCTTAAAAAAAAAACCATACAACTAAGCACACATCAGGTGCTAAATATACTTTATTGATAAACTTAACTATATGCCATCAGTAAAGCCTCTGTAAAGTTATAGCTCTAAAGGAGAACCCACCAAAGAATGCTAAATAAACTTTAACCACCCCCTGCAAACACAGGGCCTCCAGCATGCTCTTCATTACTCCTTGGAAACAATACCAAACTACAACCTTCTATGTGTTTCTAGGATATGATATCCTCTCAAGAGTTAGGTCTCAAAGGTCTGAGAGCAGAAGGTCCAAACTACTTCTAAGAATACCCCAGAGGCATTTAAACATATGGGCTTCCTGAAGACAAAGGGGAGAAATGGGGCTAAAGGGCCAGAATCTAGGGAGTTACAGCCTACTACTCAAAGGTGGCTAATAAGATAAAATAAAAAATTAAGCTGGGGGATGTGGGGATATGGGGGGGGGGGGAGATAATCAGCGACCAGGGAGGCTGAGGCAGGAGGAGGGAAAGTTCAAAGTCAGCTGGGCAATTGAGTCCCTATCTCAAAGTAAAAACAGGGATGTCGCTTAGTGGTATAACACCCCTGGATGCCCTCCCTGTAACTGCAAAAGAAAAAAGAAGAAGAAAAAAAAGTCCCATAGTGTGCGCCTGTAATCTCAGAGACTCCAGACAGCCTCAGCAACTTAGATTCTGTCTCAAAAAATGAAAAGGGTTGGTACGTTATAGCCCAGTGGTAAATAGCCCCGGCTTAAATCTCTAGGACCCCAATAAAAATAATAACAATTAAAAGTTCTTCACACTGGTTATAGTTCAATTATTCAAAAGCAGCACGTGGCAAGTGCCTATCTTCATGGACTACAGAGATAGAACGCTTTCTTCTGCAGAAAGTTCCACGGAACAGCACAGTTCTGAAGCAAAGCAGCCATGGGGGGGGCTGGGGGGGTGCCCGTGTCGCTAGCGGCTAAGTCTTTGATCTTAGCAAGGCCACACCCAAGCTATTTTCTTTCCCCCAAGCCCCACTCTCGCAGCAAGGTACGGACCCCCCCCCCGCCCCAGGGCGTTTTTGCGCAAGTTCTGTGAACGCTCTCCCCAGCTCTCAATAGCTATTGTTTGTGCCAGGAAAACGTCTGCCACCTTATTAAACTTTGGAACTCAGGTTTCCAGGTCCCCAACCTGGAAGCCAGTCCTGGGTTCAAATCCTTGCTCTCACTCACTAGCTGGGAGACCTGTGGGTTCCTAACCTCTCTGTTCCACCTGTTCACCCGCGAGAGCGAGATAATAAAGGTATTTACGTCACAGCGTGGCTGAGAAAATAAAAATTAAGCTCCTCTGTTCACTTAACGATGCATACAACTGGAGCCCCATTATTAGCAGACCAACGCTCAGCGGCCGGGTGCGGCGGCCTGCGCCTGCGATACCAGAGACTCGGGAGGCTGAAGCAGGAGGGAGGATCGCGAGTTCGAGGCCAGCCGCGGCAATCCCTTGACTCAAAATTCAAAGAAAAAAAGGGGGAAGGTTAAGAAAATACCTCTGGGCTAGAGGGTCCCTCGGTTAGAGCGCCAGGACTGGAGAGGGGAAAAAACAAAACAAAAAAAACAAAGTCCGCGGCTCGGCCCGTGGGGGAGCTGCAAGACCTCCGCCTCCCGTCGGCGGCGAGCCCTGCCGCGTGGAACTCAGCTCCTCGCGTGACCGCTCGGCTTCCCGCTTTCCCCACCCCCCACGGCTGCAGGCGAACCCTCGGCCCGCGCGTGGGGCCGCCGGAGGTCGCGAGCCTCCAGCCGAGTTCCAAACCCGCCTTATGGGGCGTCTCTGGGTCCCGCGACCACACCGGGGCGAATTATCCCGAAGTTAGAGGCCCAAGGCATGGTGAAAAACAAATACCATCCTCACCTGATGCCGGAACGACGCGGTCCGGCTCCCGAGACCGCGACTTTCCCAGTCGTTACCTCAGCAGAACTACCTACGCTCCCGCACCAACCACCGCTTGCCGAGCAGCTCAAGCGCCCCGCCTGAGCCGCGGGCCCGGCGTGCTCCTATTGGACAGCAGCCCCAGGCAGCAACCAATACTCTCTCTCCTTCTTCCATTGGTCGCAGCTAGTTGAAACAGCGGTGCTCTCATTGGCTGGTACTTTGCATACTTACTAGGCGGGACCACGCGTGAAGACGTTTCATACAATTGGTAGAAATCTTCGTCCATCATCTCGCGCGCAGCCTCCAAAGAGTGGAGTGGAAGTGTGGTTTTTACCGCTCTTTATTTGAACTTTCTGGCGGGAGAAAGTTATGAGGCAAAGATTCCTCAGTCCATTTTGGAATGCAGATGAAAATATTAAATCTGTAGTTCCTGTTGCTTGTCCCTAATACTTTAGTGAAGGAGCTATCTTTACCCAAGGGATAGTAGGTAATCGAGGAATTTCAAACTATTGCCCCCGGTCTGGAGCCGGTAAAGTGACAAAATCCAGATCAGACACATTCTCGTGGGGTCGAAGAGTTTGCCTACACAATCAAATATTTTTGCCTACACGATCTCTTCAATCTGAAGCCACTCTAATAAAATGCGAGCTGCTCTAAATTGTCACATCACTTAACAGCAAGGACTTTTCAAGCGTCTCCCAGAAAAACGAAATCCCATTTTTAGGATGAAGACTTTTGAAAATCTAACCCTCAGTCACAGACTGTACATTGCCAAAATTTCATTAACTCAGCTTCCATTTTTCAGTGGAAGTGATAGCAGAGGGAAGTATAAATGAAAGTCGGTTGAGAGGTGGTAACATACCTGTAACCTCTGCTACTCAGGAGGCTGAGACCGGAGGATCGCAAGTTCAAGGGCAACCCTGGCAATTTAGTACACGTGTCTTAAAATACAAAATAAGGGCTGGGGTTGTAGCTCAGTGGCAGAGCGCTTGCCTCGCACATGTGAGGCACTGGGTTTGATCCTCCACACCACATAAAAAGAAAGGTATTGTGTCCATCTTAAAAAAAAAAAAAAAAAAAAATCTTGGGTTGGGGCTGTGGCTCAGTGGTAGAGCACTCACTTAGCATGTGTGAGGCACTGGGTTCGATCCTCAGCACCACATAAATAAATACAATAAAGGTATTGTGTGCGTCTAAAACTAAAATAGTATATTTTAAGAAATATATTTAAAAAATACAAAATAAAACGGGGTTGGGGATGTAGCTCAGTGGTAAGGTACTCTAGGTTTGATCCCCAGTACCACAAACCTAAATTAAAAAATAATTAAAAGTCATATATAAACAAATATGGACTTTACAATATATTTTCCTCCATACCTGTCACCAACGCCATTTTTAACATTTGTTCTTTTCCTTTTTCTGCTATATAAAGGAGCTGATGATGAGTTTTAGAATACTATGAGGAAAAGGGAATTTTATAAACTAATAGATGTATTATGGACCAGAAAGAAAAAATATTGTGATTCTCATGTAAATGTTATAGACAATGCATATAGACAATGCAAAGAAGCAAAACCCCAAAATTGTCTCTGGTCAGAGATAAATACAGATGTGGTGGTGTTTAACTTGCTTAAGACCTAGCTAAGTTGCTGAAGTTGGCTTCAAATTTGAGATCCTCCTGCCTTAGCCTCCTGATCTGTTGGAATTACAGGCATGAATTACCAGGCCCCTAAACTTTTGCTCTTTGAAAGACACTGTTTTAAAAAAAATTAAAATCAAGCTGGACCCCATGATGCATGCCTTAGGAGGCTGAGGATTGGAGGATCACAAGTTTGAAGGCAGCCTCAGCAACTTAGTGAGACCCTGTCTCAAAACAAAGTATAAAAAGGGCTAGGAATGTAGGTCAGTGGTAGAGAATTCCTGGGTTCAATCCCAGGAATCCCCCCACACACAGAAAATTAGAAGTCAAGCTACATTCTAGTAGAGAATATTTGCAAATCATTTACCTTATAAAAAACGTATATAGAGAACTCTTAAAACTCCATGACTAGTAAAATAAAACAATCTAACTTAAAATATGGGCAAAATATGTGAACAGACACTTCAACAAAGAAAAAGTATAGATGGTAAGTTAAATGAAAAGATGCTCATGACCTTTAGTCACTAGGAAAAAAACAAGCTAAAGTCACAGTAAGATACCAGTCACTACAGAACTATTACAATGACCAAATTTTATTTTATTTTGTTTTGTTTCATTTTAATACTAGAGTTTGAACCCAACAGTGCTCTACCACTGAGCTCCACCCCCAGCCTCTTTTCATTTTTAAAAAATTTGAGACAGGGTCTTGATAAGTTGTTGAGGCTGGCCTTTGACTTGTGATCCTTCTGCCTCAGCCCTCCCCCCCTCTATATTTTTAACACCTTTATTTCACTTGTTTATTTTTGTATGTAGTGTCAAGGATCAAACCCAGGGTCTCGCACTGTGAGACTAGCGCTCTACCGCTGAACCACAACCCCAGCCCCTGCCTCAGCCTCTTGAGTTTCTGGGATAACAAACATGTGCCACCACATCTGGCCAACAGCCAACATTTAAAAGGCTGACCATACCAAATATTGGCAAGGGTATAGAGAAATGGGAACTCTTATATACTAGGAATGGAAAGGGGAAATAGCAGAACTTCTTTGGAAAACAATTTTATAGTTTGTTTTTTCCACAGTACTGGGGATTGAACCCAGGCTGCTCTACCAATGAGCTACAAACCCAGTCCTTTTTATTTTTTATTTAAAGACAGGGTGTCTCACTAAGTTTTTGAGGTTGGCTCGGAACTTGTGATCCTCCCGTCGCAGTCTCTTAAATTGCTGAGATTACAGGTATGCTCCATCAAGCTGGGCTTAGTTTCTTAAAAAGTTAAATGTACACCTACCATATGATTCAGCCACTGGGTCTCTAGGTATTACCCAAAAGAAATGAAAGCACAGACTTATACAAAAATTTATACATGAAAGTTCATAGTAGCCCTATTTGCAACAGTCAAAAATTATGAACAACTCAAATGTTCATCAATGGGTGAATGGATAAATTATGTTATATCCACACTTTGGAATAGTTTCAATACTGAAAATGAATGAATTATCAAAACATGCAACAGACATGGATAAATTGAAAGTAATTGTTTTGATTGAAAGAATGCAAATGTTTTATATACCATATGATTCCATTTATACCAAACTTAAAATGCAAACTAATCTATAGTGACAGGAAGCAAATCAATGGTTTCCTAGGGCTGAAGGTAGGGGGAGAGGAGAGAGTGATTGTAAAGAGGCACGATAAAACTTTAGGAGTTGAAGGATATTTTCATTATCTTTTTTAAAAATTGGAGTATTATAGTTATACATAGTAGTTGGGTTCAGTTTGACAAAATCATACATGGAAGGAATCTTATTTCAATCCCCATTATCTCATGTTCATTATCCTGATGAAGTGGTAGTTTCATGGATATAAAATATGGCAGAGTTATCAAATTGTTTTTAAATACTCATAATTTACCATGTGTCAATTACAAGGTAATTTTAGGTGTTTCCATACTGCGGTTGGTGTTTTTAGTATCTTTTTTAAAAAATATTTTTTAGTTATAGATGGACACAATACCTTTATTTTATTTATTTATTTTTGTGTGGTGCTGAGGATTGAACCCAGGGCCTCACATGTGCTGGGCAAGTCCTCTACCACTGAGCCACAACCCCATCCCTTTAGTATCTTTTTTAAAAAATATTTTTTAGTTATAGATGGACACAATACCTTTATTTTATTTATTTATTTTTGTGTGGTGCTGAGGATTGAACCCAGGGCCTCACATGTGCTGGGCAAGTCCTCTACCACTGAGCCACAACCCCATCCCTTTAGTATCTTTTTTAAAAAAATAACAACTGTGCCATAATTTGTGTGTGTGCATGTGGTGCTGGGGATAGAACCCAGGGCCTCCAACAGCCAGGCAAGCTCTACCACTGGGCCACATTTCTAGCCCTAAAACACTATTAAAATCAGCTTAGGCTGGTGTGGTGGCCTACTCCTATAATCCCAGGGGTTTGGGAGGCTAAAGTGGGGGATCTCGAGTTCAAAGTCAGCCTCAGCAAATTAACAAGACCTAAGCAACACAGTGAGACCCTGCCTTTAAATAGAATATAAAAAAGGGCCGGGAATACGGCTCAGTGGTTAAATGCCCCTGGGTTGAATCCCCAGTACCAGACACAAAATAAAATAAAAGATAATAAAATCAGCTTGGTATGGTTACTATCATCTGTAATCCCAGGTATTTGGGAGGTTGAGGCAGGAGAATCACAAGTTTGAGATCAGCCTGGTCAATCAGTGATATCCTGTCTCARAATAAAAACAAGCTGGGCATAGTGGTGCATGCCTGTAATCCCAGCAACTCAGGAGGCCAAGGCAGAAGGATCAAACGTTTGAAGCCAGATTCAGCACTTTGGCGAGGCCTTAATCAATTTAGCAAAACCCTGTTTCAAAATATAAAAGAAAAAGGGCTTGGCGTGAGTGCAGAAGAAAAAAAAGGGGGGTTGGAATGGAGCTCAGTGGTTAAGTGCCCCTGGGTTCAATCTCTAGTACAGAGGAGGAAAAAGTGACAATTCGGAGAAAAATGCAAATATCCAGCTTCTTTTGACAAAATAGAAAGTTCTGGAAATAGAGAGATCCAATTCTTATATGATAAAAAATAGCYTGGAGCTGAGCAGAGTCTATTGTTCAAGTTCATCTGGGCACTAAGGCCCCTCCAGTTTCCCTCACAGGTCCTCTAGCCATTAGGGTTTGTAATTTCTAGCAGGAGAGTTCTGGGACCTGATGTAGGAAGTCAGGTTGGGGTCAGAGATACAAGGCCATAGGTTTCTAAAGGAGGAGTTGGTATTTAGATCAGTGGGCAAGAGGAAGGGCTGAACGGTATTTTTTCAGTTACTACTGTTATGTAACAAAGCACCCCCAAATTTAGTGGTTTAAGAAATAAAAAATTTATTTAGCTCATGATTTTGTCAATGGTAAATCTGGGTTGGGCTCAGCTGGGTGGTTTTGGTCTTGCCTGGGCTCACTCATATAACTGGGTCAGTTGCCAGGCTGGTTTAATATGATCTTAGCAGGGATAGCTTGTCTGTGCTCCATGTGGTCTCCCATTATCCAGCTTGCTAGCCCAATTTCATGGCTGAGTAGGGTTCCAAGAAAGGGAGTGAGCACTTGTAAGGCCTCTTGAAGCCCAATTTTGGAACTTGCATACTGTCACCTCTTCCACATTCTATTGAGTGAATCAAGTCACAGTGACATCCCGGATTCAGACAGAACAGATTTCCAGTTCTCAATGCAAGGAGCTGCAGAGTCCCATTGTCAAGAGGCATAGGCAGAAAATCATCTATCAAGTTTTGCAGATCATCTATAGGTATAGTCAGAAGCATATTTTTGGAAAAACCACTGGGAGCAGGATGTGCTCTGTATGACTGGAATTACAAATGGTTTCTATTTGTAATAGAGAAGTACTGCCTCCTTGCACCCATAGTAGCTTGATGCCAAAGGATATGAGAGAGAGACATGACCAGTTTGTGCTTCTTGTCCAGAGACTCCTTGGTTTAGGTTTCTGATACAACTAAGTAAAGGTAGACAGTTTCTCTAAGATTCCTGTAAATGAATGAACAGAAAGTCAGACCAAAGCAGAGAACTCAGAGCCAAGCTAGAAACACAGATATTATGTCTACACTGCACAGTTGTGTAGAAACTGCATACCCCTGGTCTGGCTGGGGCAGGATCTCTCATCTGCACCCAAGCCTTTGTGATAGCAAGTTCTCTTTCTGGATTAACTTCTATCTAGATGCCACGGCACACTCCACTCTACCTCCCCTGAGTTGCAACTACTAAAAATGCCTCAGACATTGCCAAATGTCCTTTGGTGGAGTTTGTGAAAATGAAATCCTTCACAAATGTGAAGCATGTGGCTTATGCTCTTTACGCCAGAAAGAACCCTACCATTAACAGAGGGCCGCTTGGAAGGCTCATAGGCCCTGCACTCATCAATGATCTCCTGCAGCTCTAAAGGGCAGTCTTCACCCAGTGGCTCCTGCTGCCGGTCCACAACCACCTGCTGGTGAATCGCCTTAGAGTTGTAGCCTGGAATGGAAATTATAAAGGCTTAAAAAATTAAAAAATTGTTTTGGCACTCATACCCATATCTCTCTGGATGCAGACAGCTGGCATCAGAAGCAGGAACTTCAAGTATGTCAAAAACAAGAGCCCCCACTGACCAGCCCGGGCAGTTCCCCAGTGGAGAAAATAGTTCTTGGGAGCGCCTGAGGGGGAATTTCTAGTTCACTGTAAGGGGACCCAATTCCAACACCAGCAGAGTCAGCCTTCAGGTTCCTYACCTTCAAATGGGATCTTCCCCGTGGCAATTTCCCAGAGGACGATTCCAAAGCTAAAAGAAAACCAAGGAACACCCTAAGTTCCTTTTCCCATGCCCCTTTAGCCATTTTCAGGAAACTAAGTRAATTTTCTGATTACCACCCAACTCCTCTGAGGACTATCAATAAGAGTCCTCAGAGGAGTTCAACTTGGACTTTGCTTGTTCTGTTAATCTGAGTTAGAATCTGCAGGAGAATGTGCACATACCTGTATATTTCAGCTTTGATGTCATATTTATGGAACACATTTTCCAGTCCCTGAGGTGAGACATAAGCTGTAGAATTGACTCTCTCTGCTTTATTCCCTTTAGTTTCCCGACTGATGGAAGTCTGTGTTTTACTCAATTCAAATCCTGCAAGCTAGAGAGATGTATTAAAGACAGAGAGAAACAGCAAGATCTTGGACGGAGGGTACAGGGTAGGGGGTTGGTGTGACACTTGATTATTCGGGTATGGTTTCTCCTTGAGGGATWTATTTCCAATGGTATCTACTGACTGTATGGCTACTATATTGGCTAGCATCAAAGCTGAGTTTATCATAATGCAGGAACCAAGAAAAGCACGTAGAGATTTCTTCTCTATAATATGAACCTGAGGGCAGTGAAGATTACTTGAGGTGATGGTTATAAAGCACCTGTAAGACTTGGTAAGTTAAAGCTGTTGCTAATAAAACGATGTTAGATACAGGACCTTCTCAGCTAAGGACTCAGTTTCACTGAGGATATGGGGTGGGGGGGTGCATGGAGCTATGGTTTGCTTTCTCCCAGAAGCAGATAAAAAAAATGATGGGGGAAACCCCTCTGTTCTMTCTGCCCACATAGGGTGGTCAGCCTGTCCCATTGGATTTTTATATGACAAGAGTGATTTATCTTCTTTGACCCTGCATGGTCATGTGGTATTCTTAAAGAAGCCACAGCACAATTAATGGGAGTGTATGTTTTTGTTCTATGCACACCTGCCATTAGCACCATCGGTGTGYGGAAGGCTGCCAGCTCCAAAGTCAGCCACGTATTCAAATCTAGGGGCAAGGCCAGGAAAAGGATAAGACACACAGACTTGCTCACATGTTTGCTGAGCATGATGTCATCTGACATCCAGCCCCATGCTGGATACCAGAGGTGAAAGGCTGAATAGCATGTGTTACAGTCAGGCAGGATGAGGACCATGAGAGTGTGGGACACAGTGCTTTGGGAAGAAGAAAGGTATGTGAAAGGCAGAAGGGACTTGTCTTCTGTTAATTCAGGGCTGTCCCTTGCACTCATAAGACTCAAAGAAAGATGACCACCCATGGATGACAAATAAAATATTCTTTTAGTATTTGGGAATTGTAGACAATGAGTCAACAAAATCCTTTCCTTCTCTGAGTAAAATCTACCATGGTGTATTTTCAGTTAACCTTTTTAGCTCTGTTCCCCTGAAAACCTGATAAAGGTAGATTGTCACTTATGCTCCTGATGATAAAAAACATTGTGATGATAAAAAAGATTGCTGAGTGGCAAACTGCTTTTGGGTATTGGTTAGTGGGTAAGAGGACTATAAACAGTTGATAGGTATGTTGTGCTTTGTAGCAATTCTTATAACTGGGAACTGGCTTGTCCCTTGAAGGGACCTTGGAAGGTTTGTCTGCAGAATTATTTTAAGAGATATTGACTCCTTAAGATTATGCGACTTCTAGGCCCAGATAGCCACATAATCAACAAGACAAAGTCAATATCTCCTGGACCACTGGGGTGGGGACTCCCACAAGAAAGAATTGCTGGCAAACTGAATGCCAAATGGCAAATGACCCTGAATGCCAAGTGTGACCCATGAGAGTCCTGTGCGTCTAGACTAGTTGAACCCAAGAAGGTTCCCTTGTGGGTGTTGTAGGGACAAAGAAGTGGTGGTATCTAGGCATCTAAGGAGAAATGACCCTTGGTGTATCCCTGCTAAGTGGGTGGTGAGGTAAAGCAAGCATCAGAACAGGAAGTAATAGTTGAATCTGTTCTGCAGTGGCCACACAGAAAGCTGTACTGCCAGGGGGATTTGAGCTCTATTTCTAAAATTAAAGGGAGAGTGTACGTATATGAATATGTTACAATAAATCTTGCTATTACTTTTAATTATAAAGCACCAATAAAAATATGAGAGTGCTGGGGCTATAGCTCAGTTGGTGGAGTGCTTGCCTCACATTCTCACATTCATAAGGCTCTGGGTTCAATCCCCAGTACCACACTCACACACACACACACACACACACACACACACACACACAAAGGAAAAATAAAATAAAATCCATGATCTACACTGTTAAAAAATAAAATAAGCCCAGTGTGGTGGCACATTCCTTAATTTCAGTGACTCAGGAGGATGAGGCAGGAGGATTGCAACTTTGAAGCCTGCCTCAGTAAYTTAGCAAGGCCCTGAGCAACTTAGCAAGAACTTGTCTCAAAATTAAAAAAGAAAAAAAAAAAAGAGCTGTGGATGTGATTCAGTGGTTAAGCACCCCTGGGTTCAATCCCTAGTGCCAAAATAAATAGATTAATTAATTAAATTAAATAAATTAAAGAGAAAGCCTAACATACATGAGGCCCTGGATTCAATTCCCAGCACTGCAATAAATAAGTAAATAAACAGACACATACATACATAAACAAAATTGAGGAGAGAAACAAGCAGTACAACCTTCCTGAGACATTTGCAATCCTCTCCTAATATCAGACGTGCAGGTTTGACTCATTCAAAGAGCCCATGAAGGGTGTGCTCACCTTCACTTGGTAGCCCTCAGTTACCAGGAAACTCGAGCTGCTGATATTGCTATGGAGTTCAGGTGCTTCCGAATGGTGTAGCCTGAGACAACCAAAGGCAGGGAGCATTAATGGCCGTYGCAGAGACAGTCATTACTGGGATAACAAGGCTGTCCAATACCATGCCTTCCTCACTGGTAAAAATCAGTGGACAGCCCAGAGAACCCGGATGCAGAGGTGAGATTTGACAATGTATGCTGTGAGTACACAGCAGAGCTGGAATGCATTGGATAGGCAGGTGTAAACAGCTCTGTGGAGTGTGTGCACTCTGGCACCAGGGTCACTTTAGGTAGAGAAGGATGAAGGAGGCTCTGYGATACTTTGCTGGGGGTACCGGGAAGATCAAAGCACTCAGAGGTAGGACTAGATGGCTGCACCAGGCCAGGGACCCTTGTGGTTATGACAGAATATGAAGCTAGGGTTCCCACCAACTTATAGACAAATGCTTTGGATTCACAGAGCCCCTGAGTTCCAGCTGGGCAGATGTCATAGTGTCTCTCTTAGATCAGGTTCTCGCAGAAGTACGTTAGGAGCCAAGGATCTGGGGACAAGTGGCTCCCAGGAGAAACTGGTGAGTGGATGGAGGAAGCAGGCAGGGAAGAAGAAATCAAGCAAAATTGTATGATTTCAGGTGCATCCACAGCTCAATCTGATCATAATTACACCTCAGGATTTGTCCCACAGGAGGCAAAGGAGCTGGGACTTCGTAGTCATGCCGGTCAATAGCTATGGATTGGGATGGCTGGCTATCAAACTCCTGGGCACTTTCAGTTATCCACAAGAGTGAAGGGAGCTGGGTGCGGTGGTACACACCTACAATCCCAGTGATTTAGGAGGCTGAGGGAGGATAATTGTAGGTTTGAGGTCAGTCTCAGCATCTTAGCAAGATCCTGACACAAGAAAAAAAGTCTGGGGAGTAGCTTAGTGGTAGAGCACTTGCCTAACATGTGTAAGACCTTGGGTTCAATCCCCAGCACTACACACATACAAGGGTGAATGGACTCCAGTGCCTACAGATAACTAGCARCCTTGGGCTTTTAGCAGCAAAGCATGATAAATGCAGAACGGAACTACAGAGCTGGCAAAGAAGATCAGAAAGCATTTGGATGTGACACTAACAGTGTCACAAATTCCCTTGCCACAAATTCCACTAGGTTTTGGGAGTTGAGGGAAAAAAGCTGATTTAAAATAAATAGCTAAGACAGTATTTCCAAAGTATGGGATATAGGGGCATGCAAGATTACATGGGGAGAAAATTTTCTTTCTTTCAATTATTTACACTCTAATTACACCAAGGAAATAGTCTCAGTTTGGTTCTGGGTGTCCTTAACCCCTCTCTAGGTCAGCTGCAACCTCCTTTGGACAGAGGATGTGGGTYTGTATCATGGAGCTTGTAGCAGCCAGCCGCATCCAGCCAGAATTTAATTACGGCCTTTGGTTTCATTTGTGGTCACTAACTTGTGGCAAGTGATCCTGGCTTTTGATTTATGGTAGTGATATAAAGTGTTCTTTTTAAAATTTTAATGTCTTGTCTTTATTTTGTTTTGTTTTKGTTGTACTGGGGATTGAACCCAGATGTGCTCTACTGCTAAGCTACATCCCCAACCCTTTTTGAGATATGGTTTCACTAGGTTTCCCAGGCTGSCTCGAACTTGATTCTCCTGCCTCAGCCCCCTAAATTGCTGGGATTACAGGTGAGCAATGCCACACCCAGTTTATTTAGATTTTTCAAAAAGTAAGTATATTTACACCCTCTCACCCCCTCTCACCCTGGGTACCTGTACAAGCCTTTGGCTGCTCCCAAGACCAGGAAGATGCGTACACCAAAGGTGAGGTCCTTTTCCTTATCCAACAGCTCCCTCAGGGTCCCCAGTTCACAGTACTCCGTGACGATGGAGAATTGAGGTGGACTCACTAAAGGAGAGGAACCAGACACTATGAAGGTCCACTCAGAGCTCCTGCTTCCTGCAGACCACATCTCCTCTTCTCTGCATCAAGACACAGATCTGCTGTGAGCCCCATTTCTCTCCCAACCTTTGACCTATGAGTCAGATACCTCCAGAATTCGCTCTTCTTCATAGTGTCTGGGAGGTCATAATTTTACATTTGAGTAGTCATTTGAGATATGTCTTCCCCAGCCAACTGGAAGCCACAAGGAGGCTGGAAATGTGTGTTTTGTTCACACGGCACTTAGTATGTATGTGTAGAAGGAATAATGCACAGGTGCAAGGGGCTGGAGAGGGGCACCCAGGCAAGAAGTCTAGGTCTCTGGTCCTAGGCTGGAGATGCCAGAGTCCCCACACAAAGGGTGAATCAGTCACCTCAGCCAGGGGAATAAGCATCACTGAAACTCTTCACATTGGGATTCAGTTTTGAAATCAGGTTGGCTTGAGGCTGTGGAGAAACTTCCAGAAGGGATGAAATGGGAATTGCAGCCACGTTAAAAAATAAAGAACGTGGAGAGATGGGTGGGCGGAGGCCTGGCTGTTGAGGTACTAGGGGAGGAGCCCAAGCCACCACTGCCAAAGAGAGGGACATGTCTGCAGTTAAGAGCCAAGAAAGTGAAGATGGCCATGAAACCATGCCCCAAGTGCAACCCACAGCTTCCTATTGCATGTAAATCCTGTGGTTACATATTGATTAGCAGCAAACTTTTAAATGCAGAGCACTCAAGAGAAATCACTACCTTCTACAGAAAACAAGCAGGAAGCCAAGGGGAGACGAACAGAATTAAGAAAAGATAAATTCTACAATAAATAAAGATTTAGAAAATAAAAAGTGGTCTCAAAGTAATAGCCAGTCAGATAATATCAAATGAGGAAGAGAAAGACCTAAAAAGTGCATTTCCAAAAAACATGAGGAAGAAACGGAGAAACAGGAAAAGGAAATTGACATCTAATAAAAAGGCTTTTGTGTTTTCAGTTATCTTGGCAATAAATAGATTATCAAAGACTTATTCTCTGATACGTATCTGAGCGATCTGTTGCAACTTTTTTCAGGATTTCATTAGCAAATTCTCAAACAGTTGTGGACTCTCAGGAGCATTCTGACTGCATCAATGAGGGCCATTGATTTTTTTTTTTCTTTCTTTCTATCTATCATTTACCTGTGCCTCGCTTTGGGAACAAAGCTGTAGGCTTGGACTATTTGGGGATTTCCTTGTTTACCAAGGAGTATTGTCAGTGTTTTGTGTTGGCATATAACTAAGTATATTTACAAAACAAAATCAAACAAGTACTGGATGAATGTTGAATGGATAAAAAGGGGTAGAACTAACTGCTGGAGTATGAAAACCAGGGAAATAAAAATGCTTGATGGTTTTCAGGTGTGTCACCGAAGATGCAATATTTTAGATACTGTTAGAAAGAGTGAGTTTATTTATTTATTTATTTTGTTTTATAAAATGTAATTTTATCTTATGTTACCCTGTGATTACAGAGGGCATAACATTTTCACAGGGCTTTTTTGGGACTGTAGTCAATTATTAGCAACACACAACAGTGGTTCAACTCTCTAAAGAACAATCACCAGACAAACTGGGTACCCTCTCACATGTGCACAAATCTGGATGGGAAAGGACTAAAGTTTTAGACTTGGACTTGTGTAGTTTTATTTCCCCTTTCTAGTGTTTAAGAAATGACATGCACTTTCATTTGCCAAAAGCAATCCTTGTGGGGTTGTGGCTCAGTACTAGAGCATTTGCCTAGTGTATGTGAGGCACTGGGTTTGAACTTCAGCACCACATAAAAGTAAATAAATAAAATAAAGGTATTGTGTCCATATACAACTAAAAGTATTTTTTTTTTTAAAAAAGCAATGCTTGTGGGCTGGAGATGTGGCTCAGCGGTAGCGCACTCGCCTGGCATGCGTGCGGCCCGGGTTCGATCCTCAGCACCACATACCAACAAAGATGTTGTGTCCGCCGAGAACTAAAAAATAAATATTAAAAAAATTCTCTCTCTCTCTCTCTCTCTCTCTCTCTCTCTCTCTCTCTCTCCTCTCTCTCTCTCTCTCTTTAGAAAAAAAAAAAAAGCAATGCTTGTATTCTGGTAGCAATAGGCTACTTCTATTACATAGTAAAGGGAATAYCAGAACTACAAATCTACTTATGTTTATATGAAATGAAGCTATTAATACTTTTCTATAGCAGTAACTGCATACCAGGAAGGCCAAGACAAATGCAAATCAAGGAATGAGGTCTTCCCAAAGCTGCAGTGTAAAAAGACTATAAACATGAATGGGTTTCTTTGCTATAGGAAATCCAACTGGAATAAGGAATGGAGATATGTAAAAAGGTTTCTTGAGGGAAGAAGGTTGATACCCTATTTGCATTTAGTTTTCAGCCCCTTCTGCTGCATCACATTCTTCTCTTGCACTGTCTCATGTCCACAATGCTTAAGTTGTCTCTAAGCAACTGCATGGAGAGTGCTGTCCTTGCAGGAGTCTTCATTCAGTATATCCAGTTCTGCAGTGGACTCATAAAAGCCGTTTTAGCCAGGGTGCTGGAAGCTCTGGGTTATTAAGGATCTCATAGTAAATTACAGAAAAGTTAAGAGCCATCCCCAGATGGATGGGTGTGTGGGTTGCATCTCTTTCTCATTTATATCAAATGCCTCTTGGTAAGCTCCTTGGGAATTACCCATAGTTTGTTTCCGATTGTCACCAAGTTCAGCAAGGTACCTGAAAGTAATCGCCTTTCATTTTCAGATGGAAGACYTACTCTCTGGATTGGTGGCATTGCTATTAAATTCTTATCCAACAATTCCAGGACCGTGGTGCYGACAGAACTCAGCTCTGACTCTACTTTCTCCCAGTAGTCCTTAATCAGCTGCAACTTCTTGTTGGAAATGTAGGTTTTCTGCTCAATGCTCGAGATAACCCCCCAGGCGTACCTGCAGCCCCCACCACGTTCTTGTAGGCCACCGAGCAGGTTGTGCTCCTGCTTGGACAGCTTGGTGCCCTGCGGGGTCACAGCCTTTATGCAGGTGGCGCCTGGCCAGCTTGGCCTTCTGGATCAGGTGGGTCTTCTCCCTGGGGCCGGGGCCTGGCCAGAGGCAAGGCAAGCCAGGGCGAGTGCCGACCCTGATCAGGAGTCCTCCTCCTCCAGATCTTTGTCTCCCAAGAGTGACTTTTATATATATATCAGATTTTCAACACCTACAGAGTGCATATATATAGTTCATTTACTTTTAATAAATTGGCAATTGATACTTTTATTTATATTTATGTTTTATTTATATTATTTTTATTTTTATTTTCTGATCTCATTATTGATGATTATGACCGGGCAAACGAAGGTAACAAGGGTTTTTAAATTTTTGTTTCTTTCTTTTACTGAAGGGTATTAAGAATATAAACTATAAATTTTGTCTTAAATTGATTTTTTTTCTTGGCCATTATTTTTATGACTTAAAGTATGAGTTATATTTTAGAAGATACTTTCCAGGCAGTTTGGAAGTTTGAGTACTATAAGAAGAAAAACATTTAAGGATATATCATACTTCAGATATAAACACCTCTTTTTTAAAATATATATTTTTAGTTGTAGTTGGACACAATACCTTTTATTTATTTATTTATTTATTTTTATGTGGTGCTGAGTATCCAACCCTGTGCTTTATACATGCTAGGTTAGCACTCCACCGCTGAGCCACAAACCCAGCCCCACCTTTTCTTGTTGAATGTAATTTATTTATTGGTTTTAAAAAATCCTTTCCTGTTCTCAAGATGGTGCCTCTTAATCTTATATATCCAGTTAAATAAAATATATTTATTTATTTAAAAAAATATTTTTAGTTGTAGATGGACACAATACCTTTATTTAATTACTTATTTTTATGTGGTGCTAAGGATCGAACCCAGGACCTCACACATGCTAGGCGAGCTCTCTACTGCTGAGCCACAACCCCAGCCCCAAATTTGTAATGTTTTATAGCAACAAAATGTACCCATCACCCAGACCAGCAGCTGAACAAGCACCCTTTGTGTTCCTAGTGGACTGCCAAGAGGAGCCGAGGGCACATAACACAAACCAATACTCGGGCTAAAGCCCTGCTCTCCTGAAAGAAGATGGGAGCATGCATCTTGAGATCCCCCACAACTGGCATTGAAAATAACCACAGGGCGTAGATCCCACCCTCTCAGCTGTTCTTAAAAAAATGCAACACATTAAAACACGGGAGGTACGATCCAGGGCCTCAAACCCGCTGACCAGAAATCTGCTTACCTGTTTCATCAATGCAAATCCCAAATATACGCAGGATGTTGGGGGAATCAAATTTCTTCATTGTTCTGATCTCATTATTGAAGGTATGCCTCACGGTTCTATGAGGGTGAAAAGGGAAATGAGGGTTTCAGAACTGGAGGCCCGATTGAAGAGCATAAATATAGTGTGCACGTGGGGTGGGGGTGAGGTATCATCAACATCCCTTTGGGGTTATAACACCCTGCATTACAGGAAAAATGGGTGTTGTAATCAGCTCAGTTCTGATGGCAGCGTGTAGTACTTGGAGGAACTTGGCAGCAGAATTAGTCCCTACAGTGCTTGTGCACAGAATAATGGGACTTGCTAACTGGCACTTCAAACAGTCTGGTACAATTGTATTTTTATGACCAATAAGGTTTTACTGGGCAAACTAAGATGATAAGGGTTTTATTTTGTTTTTGTTTTTTTCTTTTACTGAGGATTGAACCCAGAGGTGCAGGGAAGGTCCAAAGCCTACAAAAATCAGTTGTATTTCCATGTGCTATCAAAAAAAAAAAATTTAAAAAATTTCATTTAAAATACTATAAAGAGAATAAAATACTTAAGAATAATTAATMAAAGAAGTCCAAGTCTTGTAGCTTGAAATCTTTATATTTAAAACATTGTTCAAATAAATTTAAAAAGATCTAAATAAATGGAAAGATATACCATGTTCTTGGATGGGAAGATTTAGTATGTCTAAGATGGTGACAGTCTGCAAATTGATCTCCAGGTAAAATGAAATTCCTCATTTTTTTCTTTTTCTTTTGATAAAATAAGTTGGTAAGATAATCTTTTTTTCATGTTCATGGTTCAGAAATTTTAATAATATCAAATTGATCTACAGATTTAATATAATGCCTATCAAAAATCCCAGTTAATTAATTTATTTTTTTAACTCAGAGGTGCTTTGCAGTTGAGCTACATTTCCAGACCATCTTATTTCTTTATTTTGAGCAACTTGCTAAGTTGCTCAGGCTGTTCTTGAACTTGTGATCCTCCTGCCTTAGCCTCCCAAGTTGCTGGGATCAGGTGTGCACCACCATGCCTTGTCAGACTGACAAGCTGATCCTAAAATTCAGATGGAAATGCAAAGAACCCATAAGAATCAAGACAATCTTGAAAAGAAAAAAGTTGGAGGATTCATACTTCTCAATTTCAAAACTTACTATAAATCTATGGTAATCAAGACAGTGCCATTTTAGCATAAGGACACACATTTAAATCAACGGAATGGAATGGAGAATCCAAAAGTAAACTCATAAGTCTATGGCTAACTGCTTTGTTTTGTGGTGCTGGGAATTGAACCCAGGGCATCAAGTGTGCTAGGCAAGCTCTACCACTGAGCTACACCCCCACCCCAGTGGTCAATTGCTTTTTTTAAAATATGTTTTTAGTTGTAGATGGACACTGTATCTTTATTTCTTTATTTATACATTTTTATGAGCTGAGGATTGAACCCTGCCTCATACATGCTAGGTGGGCGCTCTACCACTGAGCCACAACCCCAGCCCCCCCGTCAACTGATTTTTGACAAGGGTGCCAAGACCATTCAATAGAGAAAGAACAGTCTTTTCACAAAATGGTCTTGGGACAAAGGATATTCACATACAGAATTAAGTTGAATGACTACCCCCACACAATTCATCAAAATTAACTTGAAATATATCCTGGACTTAAAGGTAAGATCCCAAACTATACAATTCTTAGACGAAAATAGAGTAAATCTTTGTGATCTTAAGTCACTCAATAATTTCTTAGGAGTGACATGGAAAATATAAACTATACAAAACAATATTGATATAGTGGATGTCATCAAAATTAAATATTTTTTTGCTGGGAATGGTGGCACAAAACCTTCAATCTGGCAACTGAGGAGACTGAGGCAGGAGGATTGCAAGTTTGAGGCCAGCCTGAGCAACTTAGCGAGACCTTGTCTCAAAAGATAAAAATAAAAAGGGCTGGGGAATGTAGCTTAGTGGCAGAGCAGCCCTGGATTCAATCTCTAATACAGGAGGAGGAGGAGGAGGAGGAGGGAGAGCGGGAGGAGAAGGAGGAGGGCTCCCAGGACTTGGACCAAATGAACATAAAGCTTTTTCTAGTTAAAAATTTAATTTATAAAATAAAAATACTCAAGGACTGGGATTGTGGCTCAAGTGGTAGAGTGCTGACCTAGCACACGAGAGGCACTGGGTTCGATCCTCAGAACCACATAAAAATAAAATAAAGATATTGTTCCCACCTAAGAATAAAAATAGTCAGAATGTGAATTGATACCATGAAGAGCAGTTAGTATGGCAAGACTTCAGGTACCAGGACACTGAGTGAACAAATTCAGAAAAGTAGGCAATAGACCTATCACATTACAATTTATAAAAGTTATAAATGCATACACGTAATAATAAAAGCATACATATTACAAGAACACATACAAATAAAACACTGGAATTATTGTGTGTGGAAGGGATGGAGAAATGAAAAAAAAGGACTGAGAGGAAACAAAGTTTAAAAAATACATAAATCCACAAATAAAATTGATCTATAGGTAAAATTGTGGTGGCCGTGGAGCTATGTCTAGACTCTGTTCCTTAATAGTAGAGGGCAGGTCATTTTACCTTTTTGGGTCCCATTTTTCCATCTAGAGATGGGACCAATACACCTTTTGGTGAATTAATGAGAATAAGTATTGATATATAGAAGAGAATCATAAAAAATGACTTACCCAATGCTTCTGGCCTGGGGTTTGTTGAATACTTTTATGGCCACTGGAGATCTATGGTACTCTCCTTTATAGAGTGTGCTGAATTCGTCTTCCCTCAGCAGGATCCATGGGGATCCTAAAAGCTGTTCCTTCTTAATCTCCTTGACTTGGTCCTGTGGGATCTTCTGCATGGGTTTTGATGAGTCTGAGCCCAGCACTGAGACAGAAGGAGATACAGAGCCAGTAAGTTAAGGAAGGTATCCTAAGGGAAGTGGCACAGTGGGGACATGAGTGGGAAGCTCTACACCAGAGCCAGCTCTGGCTGGCACCGTGGATTGACTCCACACCGGGGAATCTGCCTCTGACTAACTCGTAGAGACCCAGCTGGTGGAGGGGAAGGAGGAGGGTCCCTCCCAGTACTTTCTTGCCCTCCTCTTCCATCCTGCCTGTCTTTCCAGCCTTAACTCTTGTCTCTCCCTCCTCCTATTGCCAAACAGCTTGACACTGGGGTACCTGGCGTCATTGTCTAATCATTTCTCAYCTGATAACTAGAGACACAGTTCAAGCTCAGTAACTACACTGCTGTCATGTGTTCACAGTCTCTTTCCTCTACCCTCCTCCTGCCCTAAGCCATGAGCTTCCTGAAGGCAATTTCCTTCACCACATCTGAGCTGTGCACAGCCTCTGGCGAAGCAGATTCTCACCGTTTTATGGAATGAATGAATGAATGAATGAATGAATGAATGAGCATTTCAAATTTGACTTTAATTTCTTGTTGGACATTCAGCAAATGAATTGAAGCTTTGAGGCTGCTATAGTTTGAACCTGGAATGTCCCCCAAAGACCCATGTGTTAAAGGCTTGGTCCCCAGGGTGTTGCTTTTGGGAGGTAGAAACTTTAGGAGGTTATTGTGGGACCTTGGTTTCTTCCTCTTTTTTTTTCTTCTTATCCATGAGGTGAAAAATTTTCCTCTGCCACATGTTCCCACCAGGATGGACTGCCTTGCTCAAAAACAACRGGGCCAAATAGACCATGAAACTGTGAGCCCAAATGAACCTTCTCTCTACAAGTTGATCACCTCAGGTACGTGTTTCAGTAACAAGTGGTTGATTAAGATACATGCTATTCACAGAGGGAATGTTGAGTATTTGGACAGGAATGCTGGTCAGGAAGAATCCAAATGGACAGAAAGCTGTGCTCCCTGTGGCCATACCCCCAAACCTGTGGGCTGCTTCCAGCCATGCAGCGCCGAAAACGGAGCAGGGCGGGGGCAGGGGGAGGCTGGAGTTTCTAGTAGACAGGTGGCTTCTAGTTTGGTTGTAACAGGGCTCCTGACAACTTACACTGCCGTAAGGTTTCCTTGATTTCTTTCATGTTGATTTCCAACCTCCTCAGTGAAGCTTTAATGTTTTCATTTTCTGCAACAAATATGCAACAATACAAGCTCTGATGAGAAAAAGAAAAACATGCTACTCAAAACCAATATGCCATAAAGCCATCAAGATAGTTACGTATCATAGTCATTGTGGTAGGAAATACTACTGCTCACCAATATTCAGCTTTCTACTTCAAGGAACTCAGGAAGTGCCCTGAGGTCTGGCTGTGGCCAAAAAAGGAAGTGAGAGAGAGACCTGTGTCACCTCCCAGGGGAAGGATGTCGTGGAGTCTGAGGAGATTCCTCCCTGGCTGCTCTGGGAGTGGCAAGTCAGTGCCTGTTGCTAAAAGCATGCCCAAAGGAAGAAAGTCACCTTGGAAGGTCTTATGGACTCTGCCTGAGAAAGAGGAATAGACTTGTTTCTGTAAGATWGTGAGTTGCATAACCTAATCTATCCTAAAATATATACTCATATAAACTATGGAAAAAGAGACAATCTCATCCATTGTTGGTAGGAGTGACATTTGTCTAACCTCTGTAGAGGATAATCTAGCAACCTCTATCAAAACACACACACAAACACACAAATCAGGGAGTGCCAAGCTGGGGACATAGCTCAGTTGGTAGAATGCTAGCCTTGCATGCCCAAGGCCTTGGGTTCAATCCCCAGCACCACACACACACACACACACACACACACACACAAAATAAATAAATAAATAAATAAACAAACAAACAAATAAATAAATAAATAAAAAATGCCTATAGCTTTTGACCTAGCAAAGAGATCTAGTAATTTCACTAAAGGGAGTATCTCCTAAAGTTCTTCTAAAATACATACAAAGATGATCATTGCAAGACTATTTATAATAGTGAAGAATTGAACACAATTTACATGTCCATCAAGGAAGCTGCTGCCAGGTGCCATGGGGCACACCTGTACTTCCAGCAATTTGGGAGGCTGAGGCAGGAGGATTGCCAGTTTAAAGCCAGCCTGAGCAACTTAGCAAAGCTCTAAGCAATTTAGTGAAAACATGTCTCAAAATAAAAAATAAAAAAAGGCCTGGGGAGGGGCTGAGGTTGTGGCTCAGTGGTAGTGCGCTTGCCTAGCATGTGTGAGGCACTGGGTTCGATTCTCAGCACCACATACAAATACATAAAATAAAGATCTATCAACAACTTAAAAAATATATATTAAAAAAAAGGCCTGGGGATGTAGCTTAGTGGTAAAGYACTCCTGGGTTCAATCTCTACACACAAACAAATCAGGGAGCTGCTTAAATATACCTGGTCCATGTATACTAGAGAACTCTGTGGATATCTCTCTGGAATAATATTCCAGATTACTCATTGAAAAAAAGAATCAAGAAAGTGTATTTAGTATGCTGTGTACCGACATCTCTGGAAGGCTAATCAAGAAACTGGTAGATAGTGAGATTGTGTACTGGGGAAGCCAAGAGGGCTCCTTAAGGTCATGGAGAGAGGGAGATTTACTTCTCATGCTGGGTCCTTTTTGTTCCTTTTGAATTTTGTACTATGTGGATGTACAAAAAATATTTAAAGGCAAGAGCTATAACGCTATAAATATTTAAAGGCAAGAGCTGGAAGTAAGTCCTGTCCTCAACTCTGTAACTCCTGTTTGTCTCCTGACTCCACAAGGAGGCAGATCAACACTCACTGATGACTAGGAAGACTAGAGCCACGCCCGCCCTCCAGCCAGGGCGGCCTCCCTGTACCATCCTGGCATCCCCATCCACCCCAGCTGCTAATTGCCCTTCTTGATAGCAGGCATTCAGCTGGGGGACCAGTTTCCCTCATTTCAGAAAAGGACCCCTTTTGGTGGCAGGTCTCTGGGATTGTCTTGGTTGGTGTCTCTTGCTGACTCCACAGGGGATGGGTCGCTCTCCATATCAAGGTGGTGGAACTGTTACTCCTCTGGGATGGAGCACCTAGAAGGTTCAGCCATATGTATTTTTCTTCCTCATTTTCTTTCTCGGCACACAATCCTTACCAGAGGGAAGGGTTTGGAATTCATGTCACCAGGATCTGTGCAAGATCCCTAACGAGGCCTCATTTGTTTCCACGCCTCCTCTCTCTTCCTTCTTCTGGGCTCACACTGGGCTTCTAACTGGGCTCACACTTCCATTCTGACCAGTAGAGAAGGTCCTAATTCTTCAGTCCCAGGTAGAGGTAGTATATACCCACACCCTTGCCATAGCATCAGAGCGGGCAAACTACTTCCCCAGCTCCATGCTTTAGATGTGATGTAAGTAGAAGCTTAAAATGTGCTAACCTAGTTAAGGTTAAGTTAACCTAGTTAAGGTTTCCTTCTTGCAATTCTGCCATGAGAAGAACATTTCCCAGGTACTCACTGCTCCTTCAGCCTGGGCTCCAGAATGAGATGCACAGAGCAGACCCAAACCAGATTTGGTGCCTGGAGCCAAGCACAGCCAAGCCCACCTAAGATCAGGAAACATGCAACAGATCTGCAGACCCATAAATGGGGGAATTCATAACTATTTCTCTCTTTGTACCAGGAATTGAACTCAGGGGTTCTTAACCACTGGGCCACATCCCCAGCCTTTTTTTTTTTTTTTTTTTGTATTCTGTTTTGAGACAGGGTCTCACCAAGTTGCCTGGGTCCTCGATAAATTGCTGAGGATGGCTTTGAACTCATGATCCTCCTGCCTCAGTCTCTTAAGCCGCTGGGATTACAGGCATGCACCACCGCACCCAGTCATAACTATTTCTTGAAGCCTCTGAGTTTTATGGGGTTTGTTGTACAGCATCATTAATTGCAGTAATTGGGTAATACAACCTTCAAGGCATTTCCTGTCCATTTGCCATATGGTGACCTGAGTGATTTTCTTTCACTACAAATCAAATCATGACAGGCCATGTTGAAGGACTTCCATTCACTGGTTTCCTATGACTCTTGCAATAAAATTTAATTTCTTCTCATGGCCCCATGGCCTTTCCTGTCCTCGCTCCTGTATTTTCTGTTTTATTTCCCTACTTTTATGTGGTACTATTTTCTCTCCCTTACCTACTACATCAAAGGCATCTGGCCTTGCGGCTCTTCCTTGCCATACAGCTATTTGGCTACTCATGCCATATCTATTCCTACCCYAGGACCTTTATGTGTGCTGTTTCCTCTGCCCAAATTGCTCTTTCTCCACATCTCTGATGACTGGCTCTTTCTCCTTATTCAAGATGTCCATTCAAATATTATCCCATCATCCTGACCACTCTTTCTTCATCCATATTCACTTTACATCTCATTACCCCACTTTATGATTTATGGATTTTTGTTTTCCTCTCAGTACTGGAGATGGAACCCAGGGGTGCTTTACCACTGGGCCACATACCTGGTCCCCCTTCTTTTTTGTTTTTGGTACTGGGGATTAAACTCTGGTTGCATTTTACCATGAAGCTACATCCCCAACCTTTTTTATTTTATTTCATTTATTTGGAGACAATGTCTCACTAAGTTGCTTAGGACCTCTCTACTTTGCTGAAGCTAGCCTCAAGCCCATGATCCTCCTGCTTCAGCCTCCCAAGTGGCTGGATTACAGGCATGCACTATCGTGCCTGCTTATCTCTGGCCCTTTTTATCTTTTCTTTTGAGAAAAGTTCTTACTAAATTGCCCAGGCTAGCCTGGAACTTGCTGGCCATCCTTCTGTCTCAGTTGCCCAAGTTATTGGAATTACAGGCATGAGCCAACCCGCCAGGCTTATTTCATGTTTTTTTTTTTTTTTAAATCACATTCTGATAAAATAACTTAACTCTCTATTGGCAGACTTTACATTCCATGAGGGCAGAGATTTTGTCAATTTTGCTCTGTGCTCTATCCCCGATTCTTAGAACAGGGCTGGGCATGCTGTATCAAATTTGTGTTTGCTTAGTTAAATACTTAATTCTTCTTTTGGACCACTTATATCTTAACTGAGAGTCCTGGAAGAGAGTCTGGAAGGAGGGAGCCTCTGAAATTTCAGGAATCACATCAAAGAAAAACTGAGGAAGCACAGGAGACTCGTCAGCATCATCTCCCCCCCTACACTGGCTTGCCCAGATCTCACCAGCCCCCACCATATCTGGGCCCAGGATGTTAGGATTTCTGAGCCACCAGAACACACAACTGCTCAAACTTGGCTCATCCTTTCTGCTCCTTTTGATAAATCAAAGTGTGACTAAAATGCTTCCAATTTCACCCCCCAAACCAAACCAAAACCAAACCAAACCAAACCAGCTTACCCATTCTTTGGGGTAAGCTTTGCAAGACTTGTTTGTCTTCCTCTGCATCCTGCTGATCTTCCTGTGCCCAGGATGCTCCTTGGCTGACCCTGAAAATAAGCTGATCAGCCTGAAGTAGCAATGAGAGCTCCTCGTAGACATCTCTCAGCTGTTCATTCACTTCCCTGAAGAGTATCTTGTTATCACCTGCCTTTAGAAACTTCCAGATATTAGATTTACTGCTGAACTTTTCTATCTGCCTCTTAGCTTCCTCCAGGGCAGCTTTGAAATGGTTCAGGGCAGCCATTATCTCAGCGGACAGTTTCCTCTCTCCTTGGTCCTGGAGCATCTTCAGAGGCTGCAGCAGGCTGTGGACACGGCTCCCCAGACGCCGGCACTGCTTCTGGCAGTATTTCATCTCTTCACACTGTTTGTAGATGAGCTGGCCGAAGGAGATGATCTGCGCCAGCTTATCCATACCTAGAAGAAACAGAAGGAAAGGACTGAAGTCCCAGTGCCACCCGTGTATTTACTACTCTGCTAAGGCAGAGTGTCTGTGATTCCAGTGCTTCAGCCATCTCTCACTATTTTCATGTAAAGTAGAGACAGCTTGCTGCCCACCAAAATCTGTTCTGCTCTTCCGTCACAGCAGCTGAGGCTGGGGAGTGTCGGTCCAGCTAAGACCACAGCTCCAAGCCTTCCTTGGGTCTCCATGTGGCCATGTAACCCGTTCTCACCAATGGTGTGTGCCTGGATGACACCTGAGCTCCTTTGGCTGAGGCAGGTTCACCTCTCTCCCTCTGCCTGCTGGATGCAGCCCAAGGAACTGGGGAAGGATCCCCAAGAAGGAAGGATCTTGGGTCCCTGAATAATGGCTTGGAAGAGAGTTGCCTACAGGCCTGGAGCCTCTGCTGTGGACTGTGAAGTGAGTGAGGACCAAGCTTCTATGGCATGTGAGCCATTATATCTGGGGGTCTATTTATTTGATCAGATGAGCCTATTCTAACTAATACAGAAGTATTGAGGGGCCAGGCAGGCAACTCAAACATGTGGAGTMAGCTGAGCTAGGAACAGTCTTCACTGTCACCAAGATATATGCTTCTTTCCACTTTCCTTGAAATGTGGACTTTCTAGTTTATCTTTCACTTCTCCATTTTTGAGAGTCAAGAGTATAATCATTCGCTGTAGCCCTGGAGGTGAAAGGCTGCAAACACACAGTGTTAATGGCAACTGATGCTGGTCAGATTTTTATTTTTTTATGACGATTGAAGTGAACTTATTTCATGACTACCAGTACTACCAGTTTAAGGGTTTTTGACTTTTAAAATTAGCAATTATTGCCAAGTGTGGTGGTGCACATCTGTAATTCCAGCAACTTGGGAGGCTGAGGCAGGAGGATGGCAAGTTTGAGACCAGCCTCATAAATTGAGTGAGGCTCTAAGTAACTTAGTGAGACTCTGCCTTAAAACAAAACAAAAAAATAAATAAACAGAAAGGGCTAGGGATGTAACTTGATTCATGTATTAAAATCCTTACTTCTTATCATTTGCACCTATTTTGATAGTTAAAAATATAAGCCAGCAAACCACACCTTCACTGTATTGAATTTGGACTAGCCAGTGCTCTACCACTGAACTACAACCCCAGCCCCCAACACACACATTTACATTCCCTTTCATTCCTTTGACATCCTTGTCATATTCTTAACAGACCCTATATGATATTACTTGCTGCAGTTTTTAATTTTAATTTAGCTAATTAATTAATTGATGCTAGGGGTTGAACTCAGGACCTCACACATGCTAACATGTGCTCACTCAATGAGCTATACCCCCAGCCAGTTTTTAGTATATTTAAATATCTTACAGGTGAGTCCCTTTATTTTATTTTTTTTTAAGAGAGAGTGAGGAGAGAGAGAGAGAGAGAGAGAGAGAGAGAGAGAGAGAGAAAGAGAGAGAGAGAGAATTTTTAATATTTTATTTTTTA